TTAAAACAAACTTTATTTGGTTTTAACAAAATTCATACATATCTGCAAGAACATGATATGCAATGAAATAACAGAAATTCTGTTCAGAATTTTTTATAACACAAGACTTTTATATTGAAACTAAGCATGAATGAAATCGAACTCTTCTGTAACAAGCTGTCAAATAGAATATTGCCTTGAAAGACAATAAAAGAAAACATGGTTAGAAAGAAATGCTTAATTTCAAATGGAAGTAATGCAATTTGAGATTAAGAATATGAATCCTTCTTGATTTACTACAGCAATAAAACATGAATGATGAAAAATACTGTCTTTCAACATACAAAAGAACTGCAACACAGATTAATCAGTATGTAGAACAAGTTATATGCAATTTTTTAATCTTTTATTACGAATTTTTTATTCATTTGTAACTGGTTTTTCAGTTCTGTTTTATATGTTAATGTAGATATTCAATGCTGTTCTTCTAATCTGATCAGCAGCAGAGCAAATCATATGATAAATTTAACCTGTTTTGTAATAATTATTAATTTGTGGTGTTGCGTGGCCCCAATCTGCCCGCAACAATAGTAGTGACTGCTATGAACTCTAAAATACACAAACTTTTAAGAAGGGTTTAACTCCCTTTGTATTCCACTTTAGCAGTTACAGATGCGTTCACTTGACGCTCACAAACTATGCCAACCCAGCGGTTAAATAAAAATAAGAAAGTACAACTAAAAAATGAATAATAACAAGTCACTACCTACGAGGCTCTCTAATCGTGACTAACTTAACCGCGTTCTAAGATACAGCTGAGATTTCAGCAAACTTTCTGAATAAAAAGTTGAAAGATTCAACTAACTGCCGAAGCAAGCACACAGGCCGAAACGTGCGGTTCTTAAATTTCTACCTAGCAACCTTCCCGCTCGTGAATCAAAAAAGCACACCTACAAACTCGTTTCCTTTCTATTTAACTTAAATTACTTCCGCTGAAAATTTGAATACTTTGCGCGTTCTACTAAAATTTACATACTCTGGCATTGGCAATTCCAGGGGAAAGTAAGGCTTGACAGGAAAGATAGCTTAAAATAAATGTTAGTTAAAAAATAAATATAAACCCTACAAATTACCATCATAACTTTTATTCTATTCGCATCCAAAATACTACAATGATCACAAATTTGCAGCAGAAACCAGGTATTAGATTTCTAAATGTATGTCTAATTTCTACTCCTTTGATGAAATAAATAAATCAGCAGTACCCTAATTTTGCAGCCACACACCCTTTTTATACAATTTTACATATATGCTGAGCTTGTACTTTTGCTTTTTTTTAGCCAATTTTAACTTATTTTATGCAAATGTTTGATCAGACACTTTTTATTTGGTTTTTATGGCTCTTTACATATTCTATGTCAACATGTTCATTCAAATTTTAATTCTTCATTGATTCTATTACCATCACAGTTTAGATTTTATATTTGGTTTTTCAGTTTCTCTCTATATATATACATATATACAAAATCAGAGAGTCCAATTTTATTACTGAAAATGATATATACAATTTAGCATCAAACAGATATTTATTAATGCTAAATAATTAATTAAAGAATTAAAATTTATTTGAAATTTAATATTATAACAAAAAACATCAAAAACAAGCAACAAAAGATATTGTTACAAACTTTTTATTTCCACCTAGGAAAGATTCCCCATGGTAGTTCTAACAGACTAGACAATACAGATCACATATATTAAATGCATAATAAATTTATATCCCTATTCTTATCTTAGATTTAACTAGTTCTATGGTACTCAAGAACAAATATTGCAAAAAAAATTATATATAATGTAGAGAATAAGAGATTAAAAATTACAATAAAGATACAATAAAAGAGGATTCGAGTCGTGGTAATAATTCATATGAATATAATTCTTGCATTAATTTTATTCTATTAAAAACATAATATCAGCTGTAGATTAGACATATGAATCACATATGATTAAACACTCACACACATAATATATAGAGAGAACAGATATATAAATTCTTTGAAGAATTTAAATGTATTAAAAGTAATAAGGAAAAACAAAGAAAAGAATTAAAAAAATACACCATTTTGGCTGTAATCATTATTTATAGGAAACTTATTTTTTTTAGTTATTTATAGGAAACATTTTATAGAAGCTCATCTGGCTGGGGAAAAAAACTTGTATGAAAATTAAAATATATGACATAAAATGAAAAACTCATAATTTAAAGCTACTTACAAGATTTTCCTAATTTAAAAAGTATATACTAAGAGTTCAATAATTAATAACATTAAATCACATTAAATTTTTTTCCCTTCATTTGAAAAAAAAAGTATTTATCAAACTATATTATTATTTCTTTTCTTTTTTTTCTTTTTTTTTTTTAAATTTTTGCTACTTTAACTATCATTGAAAGCCTGAAAAGATCATTTTATTTATTTAATTTACACACTTTCAAAAATAAACCTCTCAGATCCTAACAGAAATCATGGCAACTTTTTCTAATGAAGTAAACAATTTATTATGTGGAAATACTGAAAACTGCTTAATCATACAATGTGGTTCAATTTGTCAGTTTTTCATATACTGTGTTTAATACAAAATCTCTGCAATTTAAAGTAAATCATATAAATCTGATTGATGAACAACATTTAAATTAAAAACAGCTGGGCATTACTCTGTTGAAAATCTGCACAGAACTTTTGGAGTCCTAAAAGCAACATGATCTATGACAGATCAGATACCTTGTCCATAACATTAACAGTAGATCAGCACATGATTTTTTTATGTTTGTGCAATAGATACTACAAAGTAACTACGTAAAAGTAAATGTTACTAAAAAAATCATTAGGAATTTAAAACATTGTATTATATTTAAAGACAATCTAAGTTATGTCCACTATTTATAGGATTTTTCCCCCCCTGTCCGCACTTATATTAGTACTATATGGCAGGCATTTACTAACAATAGATATTGAAAAATTAAAATTTTTCAGGAAATGCCCAACTATACAGCTTTCAGCTAACTGGAAAGCTCAACCAGAATACTTTAGAATTTTTTTAATTCTTCCCTGTCAAAAAAGTAAGCCAGCATATACAGGATACTGTTTCCATACAGTACGATTTAGTGCTAATAATGGATAAGCATCACATTACAAAAAAATCTCAAGATCTTCACCATGATTTTATGTAAACCCATTTGGCTACTGAAAAGCCAGTTTAGTTTTTTAAAGAAGGATATACGTTATACTGCTATTTATCTGTTTGTCCCTTGAAAAATTGATTGAAATTTGGGAACTTCTCTCTGAAGTTCCCAAATTTAAAGCTCTGAAGAGCAGCATGGAGTGTAATACAGTACAAAGTCCATAATCCGGGCTCGTTGGGACTTCGGCAACTCCGAATTAGGGGTTTTTCCGGATTATAGATCATCAATTTAAATCTCGTAAGATGGCATGCAGAAATTATACAATTAAAACTATGAAACCGTGTTTATGAATAAAGAGCAATTATGATCTAAAGGGTATTAAAATTTACAAAAAAAAAGCTTATATTTATTTGTTTACTTTTATTAAACTTCATCACTTTGTCATGATCGTCACTTTTAGCAAACGAACCTTTTTCTGTTTGTCATTGCAAGTGGGGTGTTGGATCCACAATATTCAAAAGTTTCCTTTTTCCTTATCACATACAGTTGACTTTCCATGCCATCTCCTTGCATAATTTTGAGACAAATATGCCTTTATCCATTTTTTGTAGCAATTCCACTTTTTGTTTGATGGACATCGAAACATGCTTTCGCTTTGTAGATCCTTTGGCAGCTCCAAAATTTGAAACTCTTTTTGACATAATCGAAAGTTCAAGCTTACTTTTTATAAAATTGCTCTAACATTCTGCAAAAAATAATAAGGCGGATCCAATTAGAAGATTAAGGAACAGTGCAATCTGCACCATTAACTGAAATGCCTTAGATAATTTTAGCCTAACTTATACCATCTGTTATACATTAAACGGGCATGTGTAAATGCATTATACACATGCATAAATGCATTATGCACATGTGTAAACACACATATCTGCATGCGTAAATGCATTATACGTTTATGCATGCACATAAAGTTTGTAGCTTTGAGGTCCGGATTATGGACGTCTGGATTAGAGACTTTGTACTGTACTTTCAAAATAATGGGATCTTGGGATCAAGACAAGTGTTCACATGCAGTTTTATATGAAAAGAGATAATACAATGTGAAAATTAATGACAAGTACTTGAAGTCTTTTATACGCTATATCCATAGCTTGTATTTGTTGATTACGTAACTACATAAAAGAACGACCTGTTCAATTATACTTCTGCTAGAACGATTGCTACAAGTTTGGTGGCATCTCTGGTAACTTTTGTGGTTCAACAAGATTTCATTGTTGGATAAGATATTTTAACTTTCAACAAAAAAGGCCTACAAAATAACTCATTTTACATATGAAATGTACTTTCCCTTCCTTGTAATCTTACATAATTTTAAATGTAATGAAAAAAAATTTTGATATTCAAACTGAAAATAAAATCAGATGACTTTATAATTTTAGACCAGAAGTTTCTTCTTCCATTTACTTGGCTTTCCTATTGAGAATTGCACTTTTTAATTTGTTCAACTATCTAAAATTTTTACTTCATTTGGCATTTCCCGAACCTTCTGGATAGTCAAGCTTTTACTGCAGTAAATAATAAGATAAATTAGTATCTAGATGTATTTTAAGAATTCATGATGCAATTTGCTTTCAAGTTTTTTAGTTATTAAAATTCTTCAAGACATTTTCTATGGCATCTTTAATGAAAAGATATAGGTATGAAAGTAGAATCTCTCATTTTAAACCTGCATTGTTCAAAAGTTAACTATAAAAATAAAAACAGCTGATGGCTTAGTTATATAAATATTAAGGGTATATCAGCAATTTAATTTTCTTAATTTATTATCTATTATTTACAGTTTCTGTCTTTCATTTTATTTAAGCATAGAATTTAACATTTAAAACATTGATAAAAAAGTCAAACAAATCTAATAACTACTTACATAAAAGCCACAGCATATTCATGTGACAAGACTAAAACTGATAGTTTCCATACATAAAATTTAATTTTATTTATTCTGCATAACAGCATAATTTAAAGGAAATCAAACTATTTTTCACACAAATTTCATTATTTTGAAATAATACCAGAATCTAAGTACATTTTACAGAATTCCAAAAGAGTTAACGTATTTATTTTACACAAGACTATTATAGCAACAGCTGCAAAAACGAACAATGAAATGATAAATAGAAGACGACTAGAAATATGCATTACCTGAAACAATAATAGGAATAGTCATTACCTTTACAAGCTTGGAATATTATATGTGATTCTCTTAACAAGAAAATCACTTATATTTCCAAATACAGCAAAAGTAGTAACAACTATCTATTTCAGAGATTTTCTGCATTATTCATTTTATAAATACATGCCATTGACTAAGTAATCTGCATCATGAGCAAGACCTCTACCTTTACGTGACATTCTCCGACGTATTGTTTTCATGCGACAAGCAAGAAGAATAAACAGTAAAACTGTTGCTGTTAGTCCCATAACTAAAGCAAGAATTGCACTGTTAGTTTCTCGAGTGTGAGTTCTAGTTGACTGGTATAGTTCTGTCACTGACATTTTAAAATCTAAAACAGTTCTTTGTATACCTTTAGAATGCGAGGTGGGTTTGACTATAATGAGGGAATCATCTTCAGCAGAATTCTTTCCTAAAAAATATTAAAGCAAATAAATTAGAAAAAAAAATTAGCCAATATTTCTTCTTAATAGCATATTTTATATTACATGAAAATTTACCATCTTTGCAGATAAAAATATAGCGAAAATACGTAATGCTGCTATTACAATTTTTATAAAAAAAATCTGATGTGTACACCTCATGACTTCCTTGTATGGAGTATTAAATTATATTCATTTTTTCTTGCATTTCATTTAAACTTATTGGATTGAATTAAATCTACTTTGTCGATAGCACATAAACCATAACAGAATAAATGCACTCTAAAATTCACTATATTTGTTTACCATAGCGACATTCTGACACTAGGTTCACTTAACAGCATTATATTTCGTTCATATTATAACTCAGAATGCACAAAATTTATATCATTTGAAGAATTATCTAATCATGCCACATGTTCTATTCAAATACTCTAATATATCTAGAATGATGTATAAAAGAAATTAAGCAAACAAAACAAAAAAGAAACAGTTTTTCACAGACGACTTGAGTATTTCTCATTCAATTAATTCAGTTCTCACTTCGCGAGAAGGCAAAAATACATAAAAACTCAAAATATCTATATTAAAAATTACGAAGTAAATCTCAAACACTTATTTCCTCGAAAAAATTCCAGAAACGATTAAGCATGATTTAATTCGCAATAATAAATGAAGGTGTTATCTTTGTTGTTGTGAAGATTAGTCTCTCTAGATTGGCAACAAATCTACTATTCTGCTGTTTCAAATTGAAACAAATATGTCCGCCATGTTATTTAAAACTTAACGCTTAACCGCACTTAAACAGCTTTTAGACTGTTGATAATTGTACAAATATTGCTTGCAGATTTACTAAAGGCATAAAAACCTTAACCAGAAGATAAGAACAATATAATTTAATCTTTTTTAAACCAAAAATGCACAATTTACAATCATATAAGAGTAAAGAAACTGAGATCACTGAGCCGGGTAACAAAGTGGATAAATATATATATATATATATTTATATACGTTTGTGCGGCCGATTACAACCAAAATACGAGGTGCACATTCACATGTTATAGCAGTCCTGTATATAAAATTTAAACGTTCTGAGGCTACTCATTTTTGAGTTATGCGAGATACGCACGTACATACGTTCGTACAGACGCCACAAAAAATTCTCTTCAGAATTTATTTTAAAGCAGTTTTATAATTTTTTTTTTTTTTTTGAAAGAAAAGAGTAAACTCATACATTAAAATAACGAATATAGAAAAAAATATTCAGGAAATAAGAGACTTTTATTAAATTAGGGTAAAGAATGGTTCAAACTGTTCATTTATATTTTGAATGATAAGATGAGGCACATAAAGTACGCAGAATTAGGCAAGCATTGGCGAACAGCATGAATTTTGAACAGGCATCTTAAAAGCTTGAATTTAAAATGTTGTTGGTCAGATAAACTGTAACCAGCTGGCTCTAAGCATACCACAATCAGTTGGGGGAAAAATTGTGGCTAAATGTAAATTCTACAGGAACATATATATTGTGTACTCAAATTCTGAGCACAGGTTACCATCCCAATGATTCACTGAATTCAGGTGTAGATTGCAACTATTGTACATGACACAATCTGCAATAATACACACATGAATAACTAAAATCTTTATTCCAACTAAAACCTTTCTTGCAGTAGTACTGGGAAAATTGTATCAGATTTTAATGTATTTAGAAAGTTTTAGAAATAAGATCTATGCATTAGATGGGTAGTAAATTGTGCATTTCTAACCTCACATCAGAAAATAAAGAGCTTGAACTGGAAAAGAGAAAACAATGCGTGAAATGAAGACAAATAAAATTTCTTACTCCATATATATGAATTCAGTTACACTTTACAGCAATTCACAGTATTGCTAGATTTGGAACTATTATCATTTAAGCAAAATATGTCAAACAAACCACAATCATAAACGGAGTCATACATGTGTATTTGCTTTGGCACTCTTTTTTGGGAAGGGGGGAATCTTATTACATGTATATAAAAATATTCTGAAACCATATAAACATTCTTCAGGGTTCGTACACATTTCCTTACATGAAAATTAAGGACTTTTAAGGACCATCAAATGAAACAAAATTAAGGACCTATCAGCAAAAAAAAAAAAAAAAAAAAATAGAATAAAGCAATTATCCATACAATCGACTTCATGCTGGTAATTTCACTTTAAGAACTAACAGAAGTGTGTATTATGCACTATTATTAAATTCAATTTCATACTTATCAAAAACATAAAACAATTTTGAAAATTAAACTAACTCCCTACAAGTTATCAGTAGCAGAATAACATTAAATTAGGAACATAAGATTCTTGAAAACATGTATCAAGTGTATTTTAGCACTAATAACAGTCATACGTATTTTAGAGATTTACATGATTATTATTTAACTTATTTTGATATTTATTCAAACACAGTCAACTACTATTATAAATCACAATGTAAGAATGTTTTGCAGATTAAAATAACTGATTCTTGCGGCATTTATCATTCATTAACTGCTCAGCAATGAATCCCAAATAAACTTTACTTTTATCATTATAACAATTTGTATCATAAAAATTAAATTTATAACAATTTTCTGCTTTACTTATTTTTGAATATTCTAGTTTCAAAATTTTAAAGTGCTGAAGGCAATCATTTACAAGTTTTAAAATATCTTCAGCAAAAAAGGGAATAAGTGGTTTATCACTTTGATAATATTCAAGGAAAGGCAATAATATTTTCGACAGAGAGAGAAAAAAAATTTAATTTTATAAGAAATGTTTTATCTTTACTTGCCTCCAAAATATTTGAGAAGGATTTCGATGAATTTTTTTTAAACTTCCCCATTTCAACTTCTTTAATGTACAGTAGCAAGTCATCCCATATTTCAATGGCTCTTTCAACTGCTGGGACATTTTGCAACCATCGGTAAAAGCAGAACTTCACAGGTAGCTTTTTTAAGCTAGATATACTTAAAAAATCTTCACGTCTTGCAGGAGAATCTTTAAAAATCCAATATAAGGAGGATAAGAATGATGGAATGTCCCAGCCAGTGGATGACATCCTATGCTTGAAAGCATTGTTAAGCATGTGTAAACCGCATGTCTCTAATGTCAAGCATTGAATGTTATATTCCTTTGTCAAGTCCTGTTGCAATTAATCATAAAATTTCCAGTTTACTGCAGGACCATCCATCGATATTTGTAAGAGTTTTGACAAGTCTAGTTTTTCAACACATTCATAAAATTTGGATAAAATAATTTCACTTGTTGCATGCCCTATAAATGCAGAAGTAAGGTACTGAGTTCTGACCTTATTTTCGTGATGCCAGTACCTCACATAAATATCTAGTTGCTTCTTTTGATTGTTTGTCAGATTAAGAGTCTCATCAAATAGTAATGTAAAAAACTCAGCATTTTTACAATGCTTTAGTAACAAAGTTTAAAATAAGGGCCAAGACCAAAATAACAGATATAAGCACATTTCTTTTCACCACATGAAAACTATTTTGCAATGGAACTATCCGGGAACATTTTAGTGAATAACGGCCCAATATCATCGCACGATTTAAAAGAATAGTGGCTTTTGATGCACTAGCCCACAATATTTCTGCATCTGTAACTTCAGATTTGAAAAGAAAAGAATTGATTTTATTATTTTCTACACTTATTGATGTTGAATTAGCAGTTACATCTTTTCCTGAAGTAGATGGTTCGTCTAACTTCATGATACTGACAAAATTCATGATACTGTTAGAAGAAACTCGGCAGTTGAGAAGGGAAAGATGTTTTGCAGCTAAAAGGGGCATTACATGCAAGGCATTAGTAAAATTAAGTATCGCATATATATGTGTATATATATATATATAATTTATTTCCTAAACAGTATTGATTAATTATATTATCTCCTAAGTTTAATTAAAGTAGAATTATTTTAAAAGTGTGCATCCATACTGGTAAGTTATATTTTGAAAGATGTTTTGAAGTAATTTGAAAGCAAAATGTTAATAATGTTTTAACGGGGACTGAAGAAATCTATATATATAATAAGAAATGTATACTGAAAATATACATTATTCTTAATCTCAGTTTGGTGCTAAATAAAATATCTCATTATTGAAGAAATAATTATTTTAGCATAAATTTGTGTGATTAGTAACTTGACTCCATAGCTGCGTATCTGCTTGGCATAATCTCATACTGAAACATTTGTTAATTTTACAACAACTAATATTTTATATCCTTGATACCGAAATCGCAAATCATTATTTATTGTATTTTGCTTTCATCACCGCATGTTTATCAACGGATGACAACTTAAGTGATGACTCATGCAGCGACACGAAATAACAGAGTATTATATGATTACAGATTTAAGTTTAATGCGGTAAAATGTTGACAAGGGGAGATTTAACAGAAATTTCTTTCCTTATGCTAAAAATAGATTTTGTTAATGATACTCATAAGACAAATGATTATATTTAGTGCTATTTGAATTAAGAATAACTGATTTGTTATTCACATAAAACCAGAACCAGCGCCAGAGCTCGCATGACCGCATTAGGCGGCAGAATTTAGGGAAGTTAAACAGAAGTTTTTCATTGCGATGACAATGCCCCAATCATCAATCAATTAATGGAGGGCGAAATTTGTAGTATGGTTCTAAATCCAGAAAATACAGCTACCGATAGTGAAGAAAGTAACAGAGAGGTTAATGAACGAGAAAAAATTTTGATTGACAAGTTATTCGGAATTCTCAACACAGTAATTACAGGACTTGAACAATGGCACTTAATAACTCAACAAGAAATTATATGTCTATAGTATTAGTCTAAAGTATCAGCAGAGAAAACAAATCAAACACCTTACATTGAAAGAAATGTTTAATAAAGTAAAATATTAAATATTAAGCTCTTTTCTTTTGTAAATTTTGATACCCTTTAAATCATAAATGCTTCATTATTTCATAAATCACGATTTCATATTTTCAATTTTATAATTTCTACGTGCCATCTTACTAGATTTAAAATTATCTAATATCCGTAAAAATCTCAAATCTAGGATCGCCGAAGTTCCAACCTCGGACTTTGTACTGTATAAATATATATATATATAATACGGAATGTATATTTTCAGTTAAACTTCTATCCCAATAACTTTAGTAATTCATGAAAGTTAATTTTGCGTCTAGATTAATTCAGGAAAAATTAGTTTCAATTAGTTGTTTTCAGCTTTTAAAAATACCCATTAAAAATTTTTTAATTCCCATTAGTTGTTTTCAACTAATAATTGTATCGCCATTAGCAAAAATAATGCATTACTATCAACCTAGTGCATAGGATTAAACCAAATACTTAATTGTGTATTGAAGCTTCAAAACGTATTTCCGAACTTCACTTTTTCTCGGCTAGCGTTACCGAATTTGCCCTTGGCGACAGAGAATAAACTCCATAGAAGGTGATAAAAAATTAATTTATGGCTTAATTGAAACAAACACAGAAATTAAGCTAAGCAAAACCGTGTAAAAACAAACTGAAATGATAAAACAAAACTTAATTTTCATGTGAATTTTCAGCGCTGATTCTCCCATTATAGAAATTTCAATTTGTTTCAGACAAAGACCACATTTAGCTTTATAAGGATTGTCATCCATCAATATCCAGTCTTTGTAGTCAACTTGATGAAGCCACAGTTTATTGAAAATGCACTTTCCAGGCATCTCGTTCCTATTAGCGTCGGAAAGGTCGTGGCCTTCCAGGTTGGGATTGCTCTAATTTTGGCAAATATTTTCAGAATCCCCCCCGCTTTTTTTTCTTCTTGAGCACCTTCATCATCACTTTTGCCTCTTAAAGAACTTCTGGCTTCACGCTTTCGTCACAATCTGCCTAAATTTATGGATAACACCTGTTTCGAAAGACATTGGGTGAATAGCCAATCAGACACCCGATACTTTCGTTCGGGCTAGCTAATTTTTTTTTTTTTTTTTTTTTTTTATCGTTTGCAACGCAAATCCGCCAACAGATTGGTTAAGAGCCGTGCAATTTTAATTCCATATTCACGAGAAATCGCAATTCACACATAGAATGGCAATCATTAGAAATGATAAGAAATCTCAAATGAGCAAAATTAAGGACCGTTTATTAATTTTGGCCAAAATTAAGGACTTTTAAGGACCAAAAATCATTTTTGAAAAAATTAAGGACTTTTAAGGACCGTACGAACCCTGTTCTTAGACAATAAGTGAAACATTCAAATGACAAGACGATAATGCAGTAGAACAGAACAGTAAAACACATAAGAGAAAAAGCATTATTTCAAATTTAGAATAGTCAATCTCAATAAATACATTTGGAAAGAGATGTCCCATACACATATGTTATAATCCTCAGCATCCCATATGATGCAGAAGAGGGCTTTTAATTGCTTAGAAACAAAACAGTCAAAATTCTAAGCTAAAAGTTGAGAGTGTTAAAAAAAAATTGTATGGAACATAATCCTCTGACACATAATGCTGTAAGGGGTGACTACATTCCATTCTGAAATACTAATCCGCTTTTTACAATGCATTCCTGAAAAAAATTCCTATTTCTGAACATTTGAATATGCTACAGCAATATATCAGAAATGTTTACTAACAGTTTAATAGATATACCAAAAAGTCCACTATGCCAATATTTTTCATAATAATGTATTGGTTATTTTAGATATAATGATAACTTTAATTAATTTAAAGCTATTTTAAAACATCCTGTTAAATTAATAATAAATTTGACAGTTAACATGCCATAATGAGAATTAAAAGCAGAATTAAAGCAACATAACCATATCATTAACAAGCTATTGCATCACCACCATATGACTAATTAAATTAATTTAAAACAATTATGAAAAATGAGAAAAATTAGATATTAAATTTGATATGATAACAAATTGATGATTATAAAAACAATCACAGATAATCTCTTTTATTCTGATGCTAAACATATTTATAAATATTGACACTTCACACAATAATAAGAGAGGAACTATTGCTAAATATCAAGTTATTAGCTAAACATTAAGTCATAAAATTTGTAAGTTTGCTTTCAGAACAAACTTTATTAAGACTAATTAATGATGATTATGAAAACAGAAATTATGCACTTAGTTAAAAAGAAAAAAAAAAAAAAAAAAAAAAAGCACTGTGAAAGAAATGTAGATTAAAATTTACATTTCTAGAAATAATATTAACAAATGATTTTACATAACACAGTTTTGATATCAAAAATATCAAATTTAAAAAAACTGAAAGGTTTCAGATTTTAAATTACGTTTAAAGGGGTGTTTTTTTACCGTTTTGCGTGTTACTTTTATTTATTAAATACCATGTTCTTTGCACTTAAACCATAAAATTCAGTTCAACATAAAATAAATTTAAAATTCAACATAAATTTAAAATTTAAAATTAAATTAAAAATGCAAAATAATTTTAAAATGAGCATATCTTTAGAATTTCCGATACACAGTTCTGCACGCTGGAGATAAAAAGGTCCCCCCCCCTCGGTACGGTGTTGCCATTGCTCACTTTTAAATCATAGAGTTTATTAATCAAAAATTCGTTAAAGTTTTACAAAATATGAAATCAATAATAAAACAAATTTAAAATTTGGGCTTTCAGATGCCCATATTCGCAATAGGATTACGTCATTCAAAATTGGATGGCTCTAGGTACCATTATTTATCAACAATGTAAGAAGCATATATACATTTATGCAGATTCTTCATTATTTAATATACATTTATGCAAATTCTTCATTATTTAATTTCTTCAAATATAATGCAGGACTTTAACATTTGGTGGCAACATTTTGAAAAGTGATATGCCATTTATAGTGATTCAATGCAAAATCACAAAACGAAAACAATAATCCTTCAGGAACAAAGCCCCTTTGGAACAAAACAAAACAAAACAAAACAAAAAAACTACTTTTTAAAACAGCAACAATACAATTATTAAATGCACTGTCACAGTAACAACATAATTTTATTTGCTTTGAAGGCATAAAAAATTACTGTTCTAATCAAAATCTGATACTGCATTTAAAAAATGAAAGCTTCTTCACAAGCTAAAAAAGACTTCCATTCAAAAATAAGATCATGAACATTTGATAACTTTATTTTTATTGCCTGTTAACTTTCACATATTAAAATATTTGACTACAGATAAACAGTATTACTTGTAGTCAGTTTCCTTTTCAATTTATTCAGTGCATTATATATTACAATACTTGATTATCTTACTTGATTATACAAATTATTTACAACTATTCATGAACTTATGATATAACAAAATAATAAATCAGTATATTGCTATAGTAATTCTACAAGACAAAAATATGACACAGAATGTTAGTAAAAACTTACTCTCTGATGTTTTCTCTTTAATCTTTTTATGAATATGAGGCATAGGTGTATTTATTATATGTTTCAAATTCTGTTCATGGCTATGATGATTATCTTCTAAGGACAAAATTGGGGGAAGGAGGAGGAAAAAGAAATTCATTTAAACAAATATTGTAATACACATTACAGTTCAAAGAGAAAATAAAACAACAGAATTTATTTTATATGGAAATAAAAGAGAAACAATATACAGTCTACTCATATTAGCAAAACTAAATGCAAACCTGTTTGAATTGGTAGCTGATTAACAATACTAGCTCTAATGAGGTCATCATTACTATACATAACATCATCCATATTTGGAGCTGGTTCATAATTTTTTGGTTTGACTTCAGGATAATTTGCATATGACCTCTGCAAAGATTCATCATAATTTAAATAGGGCTGTTGCCTTTGTAAAGGAAATCTTCGAGACTTGTAGTCTTCAAGTTCAGACGATCTACTTTGTTGAACAGCAGGCATAACATCTAAAGGTTTACTGTAAATGAAAAGAATAACATGAAAACAGAAATAGAGTAGTTACACTGTAGGATCTAGTTTGTTTTGCTATCATAAAATGTAACTAGATCTACCTAAACGTTTATCCTTGTGACTTCTTGCAAAGGCTTGAAGATAAACACAACAAGGGAAGGATATTAAAGAACCCATTTATTGAACTTAAACAGACCCCATGGACTTATAAGCTCACGGACACCAACCACTTCCAATGAGAACTTAAAAGAGATGTAATATTAAATTTAGAGGTAAGAGTACACGACTACATAATTCAGGTTAATCTAACAGCCTGACTCAGAACTTAGGCTGGCAGGATAGTAATTCCGCTGACAGAATGCATAACCGATATCTAAGGTTAGCAGCTGGAAGAATGAGCAATGTGCAATCACAATAGTGAAATCATGCTCTTAAACTTTTTGCCCTAAGAGTTTAAATACTCTCATTCACTCTAACCCATTTACATTCTGACGAGGAAACGCTAGGGGAATAAAAAAAAAAAAAAAAAGAAAAGGTTTACAAATTAAAATAACTATAAGTCAAAATAAATGAAACCCTACAACACAACAAATAAAATATTAATTTTTTTGGTAAATTCTATCAGACACCAACTGAAAATGTGAGTTATGTGTCAAATATTGTTTCCTAATAAATTACTACTACTATACTATGAATTAAACGGGTGCCAACTAGTGTCTCTTTAATTGAAAAGTAATTTTTTTTTTTACATCAAATATTCCTTCAGAAACTTCATTAAAGTGACACGAATTATCCACTAAAGTTTCTGAAATTTCTCCTCAATACATTTATTAATTTTTTCAGGGCAAAACTACATCACAAGCATCTTATTATTTTAAGAATAATTTCTAAATAGGTTAAATTTAGTGATATTATTGAAATAAAATATTATAACAAGAAAAATTTGTGCTCTGTATTAAATGTAAGATACAAAAATATTAACTAAAAAATTATGTAAATTTTAAATTTACTGATATAAATTTCAAAATATATTTTAAAAAAAAGCAAGAAGATTTGCAATTAACTTGCACATTAAACTGCTAAAAAGTTAAATTTCAAGCTATTCCAACAATGGTAATTCTCAAACTCAAGCTAAAAATGGAATGATTAAACAGAAATTTGGTAATGCAACAAAGAAATCACTGTCATTTAGTCAGATGGTGCAAAGGAATAAGAGACAAATTACAAACAGATGCAACATTAATATATCAATAAGCATAACTTCATGTACATTTAATTATTTACAACACAAGTATATAAAACTGAAAATAAGCTGGTGTGCAAAACTTAAGCAACAATGTAAAAATTTAGCAGATAGCCATGAAATTGCAGAAAAGGAAGTCTGGAGATCAGTACAATGAACACATAAGTCAGTAGAAACGTCATGCATGTGCAAATATCAGGAACGAAACGTCAGAGGCAATGTGAGCATACACAAAACGCGTGATACCGGCGCGCGCAGCTCAAGAGTAGAATAAAAGGAAGGACGGAGACGCAATTCAACATATTCGCTGCAAGTGCCAGTGAGTCAGTTCGTGAAATATGGCTAGAAGAAATCACTTGGACGACTTCACACGTGGAAGAATGATCTGAAAGCTGGAGGAGGGGCATACTGTCACCAGTGTAGCTGCAGAGTTCGGAATCAACAAAAGTGTTGTTTTGCGCACTTGGAAAGCATTCCAAACCATAGGTACAGCTGTTAGAAAGGTTGGTGGTCGCCACCCAAGGACAACAACTGCAGGGGATGACTGATATATTGTCTTGCAGGTGAAAAGAGGCCAACAGCAGTTAGCAAGCGCCATTGCTTAGCAACTCTGTACAGCAACGGGGCAACAAGTGTTGCGGTTTACTGTGGCCAGACGCCTTCATAAAGGGGGCCTATTCGCCCGCCGTCCTGAACGCTGCCTCCCGTTGAAAGTTGGCCACCGATGCCACCATTTACAGTAGTGCAGAGAGCACAAAAACTGGACAACTGATCAATGGAGTCGTGTTCTCTTTACGGATGAGAGTCGGTTCAGGATGAGAGTATGTTGAGAATCCAGAAGGGATTTTCAACATATTTTGATTTGGAGAGAGGTCGGGACCCGGTTTTATCCCAGTAACATCAAGGAAAGACACCGTAACAGTGGTCCTGGAGTTCTTGTCTGGGGAGGCATTATGCTGAACGGGCAAACTGAGCTCCACGTTTTCGACAGGGGGTCTGTAACCAGGGATCACCATTGTGAGGAGGTACTCCTTCCCCATGTGCGTCTGATCCGAGGAGCCATTGGCCCAGACTTCATTTTTATGGATGACAATGCACGGCCACATTGGACTCTTGCTGTTGAGGAGCTACTGGAAAGTGAAGATATCACTCGAATGGATTGGCCAGCGTACTCCCCAGATTTAAATCACATTGAACATGTGTGGGATGCTTTGGGGAGACACACTGCAGCACGTTTACATCCTCTGGAGAACACACAACAACTCAAACAGATGCTGATTGAGGAATGGGCATTCCTACCGCAAGAAAAGTTGCACCAGCTGGTTCTGAGTATGTGGAGACGGTGCAAAGCAACCATTGCAGTGAGGGGAGGGCATATCCCGTATCAAGGAACATCTGCTTGTTGTTCTTCCTCTTGGATAGACAAACATGAGTCACGATATTATGCGTTCAATAAAGCTTGTTTTAGTTTGATTCCATAACGTATGCATTGTATTCCTTTTTCAGCTCCGATGCTTTCATCATCCTTTACGTACATAATACTCTCCTTCATTTCTGCATTTCATGTCTCTCAGTTGATTTCTCGTGGAGTTATGGCAAAAAACCCTGCTGTTGCTTAAGTTTTGCACACCAGTGTATATACCAAATAGAATAATAATTCTTATCTTAAAAAGAAAGAATAATAAGAAGATAAAAAAAAACCTTACTGTACTATATGATGCTTGGGTGAAGCATACTGATCAGCAGCTCTGGAAATTTGCTGGGTGTAAATGTCTTTATCAGGATAGCCATTTTGCTTATTGAGTGAATGAAGCCCAGGTTGTGGGAAGTCTTTAATGGGAAATGAAATGATTACATAATGTAACACTTAAAACAATAATTAGCTACATGTTTTTAAAGATGAATTAGAATCCGTTAAGCACACATAAAAATAAGTCAGTTGTTTTTGCCATCAAAATATGAGTAAAAAACTATAATTGCAATAAATGGTTTAATAATCTACTTGATTATTATAAAATAAATAACTTTGTCCTGTTTAATAGAAGAAAGGAAATTTTTTTAAAAAAAATCGAAGTAAAAATTAGCATAAATAACGCTTATTTGTACTAAATTTCAAGTTGAATTTCTTTATTTGTTTAGTATGCTTACTCATTAAATGGGAGGGAAGATTGATAAGTAAGGTCTCCAACTATATAAAATAAGCCTGTAATAAAATAAATGATGAAAAATTCTATCAAAATTAGAAAAAAATATTTTTCTTGAATATTATACATTTATTTTCAGTCCCCATCATATGTCCCCTCCCCATTTGTTGCTACAACTTTTTCTACATGTGATCTACTTTTTCATTCCATTCACGAAAAAAATTTGCGATTTCCTTTGAAGCTACTTTCACATAGCAACTTGACTTTACAACCCACCTTTCGGTTCAGGGATTGATTAGAAATTGAACAGTGCTTTTACAATAGATTTGATATCAACTCTGAATTTCATAACATCACTAAAAAGGACTATACAGTCAAAAGTCGTTAATTCGGACACCCATAATCCGGAATGATCTATAATCCAGACCTCAAAGCTAAAAACTTTCTGCGCATGCGCTGCATTGACACATGCGCATAGGCGTTTACGCATGTGCGTAAGACCTTTACGACTGCGCATATGCATGTGCGCAAGCGCAGAATACGTTTTCACGTGCGCGTTTTATGTATAACGGACGGTATAAGCTAAAATTATCTAATTATCTATTTCAGTTAATGTTGATGATTGCGTTGTTCCTTAATTTTCGAATTGGATCTAGTTTATTATTTTTTGCAGACTGTAAGAGCAATTTTATAAAAGTAAACTTGAACTTTCGATTATGTCAAATAGAATTTCTGATGCTGGAGCTCCCAAAGGATCTACAAAACGAAAGTATGTTTCGATGTCCATCAAACAAAAAGTAGAACTGCTGCAAAAAATGGATAAAGACATGAAGAAGGTGACAGAGAGGTTAGTGAAAATGAAAAAATTTCGATTGACAAGTTAGTCGGTATTCTCGGCACAGCAATTATGGGACATGAACAGCGGAACTTTGTAACTGAACAAGAAATTATGTCTGTTTATAAAATTAAAGAGAAAGTATTATCACATAAAACGAAGCAAGTTAAACAACTTACATTGAAAGAAATGTTTAATAAAGTAAACAAATAAATATTAAGCTTTTTTTTTGTAAATTTTGATACCCTTTAGATCATAACTGTTCTTTATTTCATAAATTACGATTTCATATTTTAAATTTTAGAATTTCTGCATGCCATCTTACGAGATTTAAACTGATGATCTATAATTCGGAAAAATCGATAATCCGGAATCGCCAAAGTCCCGATGAGTCCGGATTAACGACTTTTGACTGTATTGATTTTTGCTCAGCAAATACAATCCTCTCATCTTTACTACAGCTTCTGGCACACAGAATTCACTGGTGGACACTTTTCAAAATCATACAGCAATCACCATAAACTGCTATCCAATGTCCACAAATTCTGATTGGCTTGCAAACTTTGCTCAAATTCTTTGCTGCTTATCACTGCTTTGCATGTGACTCAAAGTCAGACAACAATATTATTGACTTATAAGTACTACAACTTAAGAATATTAAATAATGAAATGAGACAGAGCTTATTTACAGCTGACATAAGCAGGTACACTGTGCGAAAAAAAATAAAAGACATTTCTATATCCCCCTTTTTACTGGGCCAATTGACAAAATTCAAATTGTGTTCTTCATGTCCCGAAAGCGCGACTTAAGATATATATTAGATTTAAATATAGCTCTGTTCTTATTTTAAGTAGTGTTTATTTTTTGAATTTCATTTTAATTGTTTAAGTTGCATGGTTTCCTTCAAATAACTGTTTTTAAAATGTTTACTTACTCATTTGAACTGCGTAGTTTAAATAAAAGATGCATCGTTTATTTTAATTAGTTTTCTTTATAATTTATTTTTTGTCATACTTATTATTTTAGGTAATTTTTTAATTTTTAGACTTCTTTTTGTGTGTGTGTTGCATTATCTCTTCATATAATTGTTTTAAAATTTCCTATTTCTTCATTCAAACTGAGCATTTTAAATACATTTATTAATATTAATTTTCCAGAATTTGATTTTATTTATTTGAATTGCGTTTCGGAAGAATACTTTGTGACCCAGATGACGATGCATTTGAAAACTGTATATATTAAAAGAGAAAATACAGCAAAGCACAGTTAACACACCTTTCAATGTTCCACTCAGAAATGAGATATAAATAAGAAAGATGTATAACCGACATTTTAACTTAGGATGACTTGCATACTTTGCTTTAAACAGCTTTATCATTGTGTTCATTGCTTTACACAATTTTATCATCTTACATTTAGTTTCTTAAAATGTTATTCATATTTTAGTCAAATATTTTATTTTTGACTAAATTATGAATAACATTTTATATTTTTGAAATTGCAAAAATCAAATAGCATAAGATTAAAAGGTTTTAAATTTAAAAAAAAAAATACTAAATTTTATGCAAAAAAATTATTTTTTTCTTCTTAATGGCTTGTTCTTTTTCTTCAGACATTCTGCAAGTATATTAAAAAGCATCCAACTTTTTGAAACATGTTGGTATTTCTGACATTCATTTTAAATTTGCCTTCCATTTCATAAAGGCCCACAAACGGCCGAGCGGTAAAGTCACTGAACACTGGCAGTTCGCTCCAGGGTTTGAATCCCAGCGAACGAGCCGGTTTCATGAGCGTTCTCGTGGTTTTTCTCATGTGTAACGTGTATGCCAGCTGGTTTCGCTTAGAAAGTTCTTCACGAAGGCATCCCTCCTTTCAAACAGATAGACCTGCTTTCCCGTAACTTAATAATCCAACTCAATACATTTTATCAGTATTTAGTCAGAGCCTTTATCAGTCTTTAGAGGCTAAGCATTTTGAAGGCATGAGATGAAAGTAAAGACTGGTTTCATCAAGAGGGAAAACATCTTTAGGTGACATCCACATACAGCACTGGATAAATTCCTGAATCTTCAAATAATTCAACTAAGAAATCATGGGATTCTCCATTTATGATGATATGATGATTTATAACGTAATTTAAATTTATACAACCATATAGTTGAAAACCAGTTGCTCTTCCCTTTAATCTGCAACAATATCCTTTTTGTCTTTTCTGTTAGCACAAGCTCAATTGATGGTATTTGCTAGTGTACACGTCCAAGTGTTTTCTTTTTGAACACCCAAATTCCTTGAAGTATTCTGAAAGTATATTCAAAAGCATCCATCTTTCGAAACACCTTGGTATTTCTGACAGCCAAGGTCAAAGCTTATTTTCCAATTTTTTTCCTTTACAGGGGGTGTTTTGTGGGACCCAAAAATCCCCTGAAACTTTTACGGACTTACTACCGACATTTGGAGTTTCGAGAAGGGGGGGGGAGAGAAATGAAAAATTACAATTATGAAGTATTGAATGACCTAATTATAAAAGTTCAATGAATTACTTTTTTTTGCAAAATTAATATAAATTTTCAAACATATAAACTACTACATTTTATGTAAATATTTTAAATTACCTGAATTAATTCTTTAAAAAAAAATTATCTAATTTCTGCTGCTTTTTTTATTTTCTGATGTTTGTGGGCTTGTCTTTCTTTTGTGGTGAACTTCATAATTGCAGGAAGGTTGACTTTTATTTTCCTCATTTACAGTTGAAGAAATTTCCTCGAGAACTGCACATGCAGAGGTAGAAGCAGTTTGCTTTTCTGCTAATGTAGAAGGTTTTTCAGAGACTTTTATAGGTGACTCATCTGAAATACATGTTTTTAAGTCCTCTTGATATGTTTTCCAACTTCTGTTCATATTCAGTAAGAGATCTTTGTGAATTGGATCAGTCATTGGATTTTTTGAGCCATATTTTTCACATGAGGTTTCTTTAGAAGCCATTAAATCATATTTAATAGTCTGCACTGCATCTAGGGAATCAATCTTAAGAGAGGTTCTATAGTCAGTGACAAGTGTATCCATTAAGTTGAATGCACTTTCCACTAATGGGCCATGGAAGCAGCTAAGGCAGGCTTTGACCAATTTAGCCAATGTAGGATACTTATAATCATTTGTGAAATCATCTTTTAAATTAAAAACTTTAGACCAATATTTATCAATTGTACACTTGACTTGATTTCCACTTTCATCAGATGTGTAGAGCATTTCTTTGGTGATATCAATATCACTCTGGTATAACCTTATTTCAGCTTCTACTTTTGACTTTTCATTATCACTAAAAATATGGGACATAAAAGATGATAATTTTTCAAAAGCTAATATTGTACTGGTTTTACCTCTTAGCTCTGGATCTAATGCTGTAAAACTAATTAGATATGAATTTTTAAGGGGTAATTTCTGTTTCATATGCTGTGCTGTATTAGTATAAGCTTTCATCAGAGAAATTTGGAATTCTTTTGCTATTGGATGATTTTTTGATAATTTCTTCAGGAGAGTGGAAGCTTCTGCACCAGTAAATATTACTTTGCTAGGTAGATGGAATTCTGGATTTGTGACATCAACCTTTAATAAATCATTATAAGATGTGCACTCTATATTTTCTGGCTTCATAAAAAAAAAGAGAAAAATTTTGCCATCAATTGATAAATACTGGAATGTATTAAATGAAGCATTGGTTTTTTTTTGTTTCAAATAATTTAATATATGTGTTGAACTCTGGTAATACTGCTGAATATAATGCCATATGCAATAAAGTTTTGTTTTGCATAACAAATAACCCATTTAGTATTCTTTTTTTTCCGAGCTAAAGCATCCTTTGTGAGTTGTTGGGAATGCAAGCAAGACTACACCCCTTCAACAATTTTTTTGAGCTGCAGAAATATTTCTTTTATTGTATACAGTAAAACCCCTGAGCACAAACACCCCAACTTCTACATTTATTTCCAGTGCTCACCACAAGAAAATTAAGATTTTTCGATTGTTACACTTCCAAAAATTTTGCATTCTTGTCATTTTTTAAAAAATATCAATTACATCAACTGAGTTTCAGTCGAAGACAGCTTTTCATTTTCTAGGCATTTTAACTATAAATAAAATTTAAAGCAAAGTAAGATTTTTTGTTAAATGACAAAGAAATAAAAGTCCAGCAATTTTATTCTGTAATCATATTAAAGATCATGTTTTTATACAATCTATAACATGAGAGAAAATTAGCTACTTAAAACATTCTTTCTAAGAGGATTAATGTAAAAATTTATATTTACATACAGTCAAAAGTCGTTAATCCGGACTCGTCGGGACTTCGGCGATTCCGAATTATCGATTTTTCTGGATTATAGATCATCAGTTTAAATCTGGTAAGATGGCATGCAGAAATTATAAAATTAAAAATATGAAACCGTAATTTATGAAATAAAGAACAATTATGATCTAAAGGGTATCAAAATTTACAAAAAAAAAAAAAAAAAAAAAGCTTAATATTTATTTGTTTACTTTATTAAACATTTCTTTCAATGTAAGTTGTTCGTTTTATGTGATAATACTTTCTCTTTAATTCTATAAACAGACATAATTTCTTGTTCAGTTACAAAGTTCCGCTGTTCAAGTCCTATAATTGCTGTGTCGAGAATACCGACTAATTTGTCAATCGAAATTTTTTTCGTTTTCAATAACCTCTGTGTCACTTTCTTCACTATCGGAAGCGAATTATAATGACGAGGAATTTGATTTAAATCATATCAAAGACGGAGTACATCGAGATGAAATACTACATTTAGTAAGGAATTATAAGCCAAATAAAATGAAAACATCCCTGAAGATAAGGATAGTGCTGACAGATCAACTTCCAATTCATTGCCCGCCGCAGAACAGCGTGAAATTGTTAAACAGATTTCGGAATGGTTAGGTTATTTTTTGCAGCAATTCCACTTTTGTTTAATGGACTTCGAAACACACTTTCACTTTGTAGATCCTTTACATATATTAGTAAATATATATTGGAAATTCTATTTGACATAATCGAAAGTTCAAGCTTACTTTTATAAAATTGCTCTAACAGTCTGCAAAAAATAACAAGCCGGATCTAATTCGAAGATTAAGGAACAACGCAATCTGCAACATTAACTGAATTAGATAATTTTAGCTTAGCTTATACCGTCCGTTATACATTATACATGCATGCGTAAACGTATTTTGTGCATGTGCACACGCATATTCGCAGCCATAAAGGTCTTACGTAAAGGTACATAAAAGTGAAAGCGACGCATGCGCAGAAAGTTTGTAGCTTTGAGGTCCGGATTATAGATCATTCTGAATCGTTCGAATTAACGACTTTTGACTGTATATATTTTTGAAAGCTGGGACAGTTTGGGTCATCCAAACTGTCAATGTCCTGTTTGCTTAAAATCATTGTGAAAATAAACATCAAACATTCTTTCTCAGCTTTAGACAATTCAATTTAAATGCAGTTAAAGTAGCAGACGATAACATGGCAAAGGTAAAAATTCACTCCTATCAAAATTTTAAAAAAAGGGGGGGGAATCATTCATCATTTATAGTAATTCAACGCAAAATCGCAAAACGAAAACAATAGTCTTTCATGGACAAAGCCCCTTTGGACTAAAAAGTTAAAAATTTGAATGTCATCTATAATTTTAAAAAAATAGCTTTTCATATAATATTAAAATATTTATTACACATCATTGAAGGAAAAAAATTCATATAATTAATTCTCCGTAAAAATTTATTTGAAATTTAAGGTTAAAAATAGCTGTGAAAATTCACTGTAACAAAAATCGATAAACCACATTTGGCATTATTATTGCTAAAAAAAAGATGCCAAATTTCAAAACGTGAAAATATGTAAATTTGTGTATATCTTGGAAAATTTTGAATAAAAAACTCTAACTTTTTTATGATGCTCAATGAGAAAATTCTCATCTTATAAAACCTAAACCTGCAATACACGATAATATTTAAATGCTTACCATCAACTGAATATGCACCATCTTGTACACCATCTTGGCCTGGCCAGTACGGTATGTCATCTTGTCTGTAGTTTCCATATCCTTTTACACTATCATATTCTGGTGATAATGGGTTAGGTAAGTACTGATCATCCATCCTTTGATAATTACTCTCATATGGATTATATCGCTGATCCAAAGAAGCAGAATGTTGAGGATATTGATCATAATCATTTGACCAGTGGTTCAGGCTTTGCACATGTGGATCATTAGCAGCAACAAATTGGCTGTGCTTATGTATGAAAGGTGATCCAAGCCCATCTGATTCTGCAAAATACAATATTTTATTTGTATTTTAATTTAAAAAATTGTGTCTTATATTAGAAAAGGTGAAGAGAAAAAATGCATGTGCCATGAATGCAATCAAGAAGGGTTGCCATAATACTGTGACATTGGAGGTAAATAAAATTACCTTCCTTTGACCTTTTATCTTTCTTTTGATGGTTTTTAATTCAAGAGGTATTTGATCCTGGAATATGTCTAACAAAACTGAAACTGTTTTCTGTTACGTACTAGAATCCCCCCCCCCCATTGAACACTCTTTTTCCCCAGAATGTCAGTCTAGTTAGAGTACGCAGAGAAATTACTGGAATGAGTGAAAGTCTTAGTTTATAGATTAAGTTAGAAATTGTAAGTAGACTGAACTGTCAAAAGTCATGAAATACAAATTATCTTTTACAAACTTCAATAAACAGTATATGAAACTAATTTTGTTTTAAGTTTATTTAACGAGCAGCAACCAATAATTTATACAGCATTTGCTCTGCGTAACATTTACTATATTTTATAAAATTTAATTTTAAATGTGGTAAAACTAATACAATTATTATTTATTAAATATAATTCAATTTTTAGAGTTTATTCAATTTAATAAAAGTACTATTTATCAAGCATACTTTATTTTTAACATCATAACAATTTTAATTAACTGGTTATGGCGTTGGTACAATTCAAGCTTAAGAAATTGCACTTTGTTGCCAAATGTTGTAAATAAACATCAATGAAAATGAAACTGATGACAGTAAATGATAAATCGAAACTCATTGATTATCTGTATAACACAAGTTATTTAATATACACAAAAATTTTAATCTGTATAACAAAGTTATTTAATATAAACAAAACTCACTGATTATCTGCATAACACAAATTATTTAATATACACATAAGAAGGAATTTAACAAATTCATATTCATTATAGTATTTTTTACAATTATGTCAATAATTTATTTAAAATAACAGAACTTATTTAATATATACATTAATAATCATATTTGAAATTCATTATAAGCCCAGAAGGGCCATTAATATTGTTTTGGAATGGCGTATTACTTTTCATATTGTTACCACCAAATATTATCACCCTGTATTATATTTAAAGAAATTAAGTAAATGAAGAATCTGTATAAATGTATGTATGTTTCTCACACTGTGATAAAACAACATTACCTAAAGCCATCAAATTTTGAATAACATAATCCTTCACCCAAATATGGGCACCTGAAAACTATGTTTGGAATTTGGAATTTGTTTTGTTATCTATTTCATATTTAGTAAAACTTTAACGAATTTTTTATTAACAAACTCAATGATTGCAAAGCAAGCAATGGCAACACTGTACAGGGGGAAAAAAAGACATTTTTATCTTCAGCATGCGAGACTGTGTATCGAAATTTCTAAAGCTATGCTTTTTTTAAATTATTTTGTGATACAGCTGTAAATTGAATTTTATGAAGTGCGAAGAATATGATATTTAATGAATAAAGGTAACACATAAAACATAAAAAAAAAAGCCCTTTTTGGCATAATGTCTGAAGACTTTCAGATGTTTTTGTCCTAATTTTGTAAGCCGTTTATTTAAAATAACAGCATAATTCAAGAGAACTTTTTTAATATACACATTAATTATTGTATTTAATACAATTATGTAAGCAATGTAGTTAAAATATTATGTAAGCAAACATGACGATTTTCTTTTTATTAAAAAGAAACATACATAAACATACTGGAAAATGTATTTTTTATAGAGTCTTTCAGTTGCCACAGTTAAGTAATTGCTGCTAATAATTGCCTTAAACATCATTTTACCTTCTTTTCCATCGATGGACGATTAAAATAGTAAGCATAATGAGTATTTTACAATTTAAAAAATCGATGTATTGGCACAATGCTATCACAAAAAACTAGTTAGAGCCTTAATCATTTGCTTCTGGTACATGCACATATTGGTAATTTTTGTTTATCACACATGTGGAATTCGATAACTGTTTGTTTTTTGCCAATGCAGTTCTCACCAAGGCCATTACAGAACACAAATTAGTTATTTAATTTAATTAATAATTTATTGTTATAAATTTAAATCTTCAGTATTCATTCTTAATCAGAATTTGAAATTACTCACAGAAGGCTTGGCGACCGCGAAACATTGAATTAATACTTTGTCTTTCATGCATACAATAAAGTATTTCTTCTAATTTGCAACTATTTCTCAATATGTATGAATATATCCTTGGAACAAAGAATAAACCTCTGAAAAGTTTATGAAAAGGAAAGAAATAGGAAATGGCAACTATCTAGGTAAAGTCAGTCTGGATAATGATATGAAACATATCTTTCCCCAAAAAAACAGTATCTAGAAGGATGTCATTTGACTGGAACTTTCTTGATTTGTTAATTATTATAAGAATATATTTACAAATAAGAATACATACTGAATTTAGAACATGCAGAAATTATATTGTGGTAAAATCTCTGGGTATCTTGTGTTTATTTTCAATGTCATTTTTAACATCACTGAAATACATTAGAAACTCCAATATAATGGAATATAAAATGAAAAATTCATGTGATAAAAACTATAAGGATCATTTTTCTGTTCTTGAATTCACTGTCAATAAACACAGTGCTCCAGTGGATTGGCTCATGACTCCAAAATCAACTCAAACCTGAAGAAAATTTAAAGCCCATACTGCAGTTGGCATTTAAAAGAATTACATTACAGTAAACCTTGCCGAGCATGGATTTGCAGAACATGATTTTGTACATACATGATTTTGTCTTAATTACTTCCATTTAATTAGTCTAATGCTAGAATTTTGTTGTTCATACGTGGTATATGATAAAAGGGGGCATCAAAGAATTAATTGAGAATTATGAATGACAAATGATGAATGAAGAATTGGATGATCTAATAATGCCAGTGAATAGTGAAAGTAGTAATTATTAAAAAATGATGACCAAGAAATGAATGAAGAACTGGATGATCTTATGCAGCAGCTTACTAGAAACAGCTACAGAGAAGACAACAAAGCACCTTTAACTTACATCTTTACAAAGTTTAATGAATAGTTAAAAAGGCACACAAACTGGCTTAGCAAAAGAAGATTGGTCCAAATGAAGAAAGAATAGGATACTTTATGATATTCACTGAAAAACTATGTGCTCTTTACTGCAAATCATTTTAAAGAGTTACATCCAAGCAAAAATCATCAGCTTTTTAAAGAAATAATTGTATCATGTACCAACTTATTAAATAGTAATTAAAATCCTTTCAGTTAACATTTCTTTCATTTTTCCATTTGATTGAAACAATATTTAAGTTTGTTTAAATTATAAATACTATCTTAGTTCGAACAATACCTAACACACTTTTCCCACAGTGAGTTAACTTTACACAATGTGTATTTGGCGTAAACTCAACATATTAATGACGTAGCCCTTTTGTTCAACAATGCCTTACTACAGAGGTGGCCAACCTGCGGCTCTTTGAAGGATTATTTGTGGCTCTCAATAAATGTACCCGAATTCCCTCTTCAATTTTGTGTCATTATATTTTTAAAAATTATTATTGTTCCGTATGTGTTTCAAAATGTCTTTTAAATTACTGACAACAAATATGAAAGACTAAGTGCAACATTGTAACAAATTTCATTTCCTTCCAAGTTAAGAATGATATGACTCATCGAAAAATGCATGAACAAACATAAACAGTGGCGTGACAGTTCTGTTTGTCGGATTTTCTTCCCCTTCGACTGCCTCATGAATTATGAGAAAAGTATGGGAGTCAAGGCTTTGTCCGGTCGATTGCTTCTTGACAAATGACGATCTACGTAATCGACCGACTTCAGACCAATTTTCAATTTGTAAACTTTCATTGCAACAGACAGTTGACATTGTGCTCTGGAGGAAACAATTTATATCACTCTTTGCTATGGATATAATTTGTAATCTGGAATTTTTGGTAAGTTAACTATAATTTGTTTCGTAGCATGTAACACGTGTTGATTATTGTTTTAAAAACACAAAACTTGTATTTTGTAGATTTCATTATTTATTTCCAGTTCTTTTAAAAATATGATGACAGAGAATGAAAATAAAAAAAAAGGACAGAGAATGAAAATAAAAAAAGAAGTTTTAATAATGAATGAGAGGAGAATTTCTTTTTTATTGATAATTACGGAAAAGCATTATGTGTTATTCGCAGTTCTATGGTCAAAAATCATAAAGCTAGCAATTTACGTCAACATTATGAAACCAATCATCCTCAGTTTTTTAATCAGTACCACCAAATTCCAAATTAAGATCATATAAGCTTGCTTCTTTAAAATCAAATTAAATATACAACATTCGATTTTGATGAACTTTAGCAATCAAGCTAATAATGTAGCTGAAGACAGTTTTGTTATTGCCTGGAATATTGCTCATGCAAAACGCCCGTGTGAAGAGAGAGAGTTTATTAAAAAAAAAACTTGGAAGATGTACTTAAAGTTTTAGATCCAAATAATGCAGCATTGCACAAAGTTGTTTCACATATTCCCATCTCGAGACACACAACTGAACTACGCATAACTGCAATTAATACATCTCTTGAATATAATTTTTTAAATGATTTCAAGAACTGTATTGCATTCAGTTTAGCCCTTGATGAATCGACAGATATTACAGATCTTCTGCAATTGGCAGTTTTCATATGTTTTGTTTCACCTGACTTCGCTGTTAAAGAAAAATTATTAGATTTAGTAGCACTTCAAGAGTCAACCAGGGGTGTCGATATTAAAAATGCATTAGATTCCATAATGAAAACATTTGATGTGCCTCTTAACAAACTTGTAAGCATTGCACCTGATGGAGCTCCGGCAATGCTGGGTAAAAAAAAATCGGTCTTATTGGGCTTTTAAGAGATGATTCTCAAATTCCACAATTCATACCGATTCACTTATTAATTTACTGAGAACATCTCGTTACAAAATATTTAAAATATCCTAATGTTATGAAAACAATGTTACACATTCTAAATTACATTTGTACCAATGCAAAAAGTCATCAACAATTCAAAAATTTCCTTGAAGAATTAAAGGACGAAGAACTTTAATTCTTCACATTAATTTCTTTTCCATTGTTAGATAGTTATCTAGCTACAACATATTAAATCGATTTGTAGATTTGTTTGATCCAATAACTGCATTTCTAAAAGAAAAGGAAATAACCTATTCAGAATTAGATGATGACGAGTGGTTAGACTTAATGTTTTTGACTGATATCATGGAACATTTGCAAACACTGAATTTACAATTTCAGGGGAAAGATAAAATAATATCTGACCTCTCACAGTGTATATTTAGTTTTCAAACTAAATTACAACTTTTTGAAAAGGACATTAAAAATAAAACACTTTGTCATTTTTCTCAAATTAAAAAAATTTATTCCAATATTAAACAACAAAAACTTAACGAGTATATAAAAAAGCTAGAAGAAATATTGACAGAATTCCAAAATAGATTTCAAGACTTGAAATATTTTAAATCGTCTCTTGATTTTTTTTTAATCCATTTGAAATTAACATACTTCAAGGTGAGTTTTCTATTTTCAATATAATTATGACCCAAAAAGCATCTGAAGAATTAGAATTTATAGAGTTGCAATGAATTTTGGAAATATGTACCAGAATCAAAGTATCCTGAATTAAAAAAGGCTGCTTGTCGAATTATTTCAATATTCGGAACAAAGTATTAATGTGAATCATTTTATTCCACTTTAAAATTCGTGAAATACAAACGCTGATCAGTATTAATTAACCAGCATCTCAAAGAATTATGAAGAAGTGCTGTCACCAATTATTCACCAAATTTTAAAGAATTATAAAGAGAAGTAAAATAAATGTGTTTAATTTTTAATATTTAAATTCAATACACATATTTTGTACTTTATTTATATGTTTTCAATAAGTATAATTTCTGTAAAAAAAAATGGTAATACCTTTTTTGCATACCTTTTAAATACGTATTTAATTGCGGCTCGCGAAAAATTACAAATTTTGAAAAATGGCTCGGACTATCAAGGAGCTTGGCCACCCCTTGCTTACTGTACACAACAATACATACAGCTTAAGTCCCTGTTACAAATTCCAGCAATGATTTTTTAATTGATGCATACAGGAATAAAAAAAAAAAAGCATATATTTGTATGCAAATAATTATAAACTTCTTTTTTTTTTCACTACAACATTCAGCTACAATACCTCATGGTATTCTGATTATGATAAAATTTGTTATCTTGGAGAAAAATTATTAGAAAGAATCTTCATCATGAACTGTATATGCTCATCAGTCAATCTGGTTATTCTCTTACAAGTTACTAATTATCATCTATTGGAGGGAAGAGAATTTGTCACATATACATGTACTCTGAAACAAAGCAATTATTCATATTGGAAAAAATTTGTAACTGAGATATTTATTCTTTTGACAAATACGACTAAAAGTTAATCAAATTTGTGTCTTTAGATCATCAAATATGATTTATAACAGTGTAAATTAAGATTGGTGTTTTCAAAGCTCTGGAAATTTAGGTATACCATTTATATTTCATCAATTTTTCTCAATGCTACAATGCAGTGTTTGAAAATAATCCCCATTTAATTGCATACAACTTTTAAAATGATCCACGGAAACTTTTACCTCAAGGCAAAAATGCAGCTATATCAGTCAAACAATTGATCTGGACTAAACAATATTATACAGGACAGCTGTATAAACATAACAAGACTTGTCTTGGCTGATAGCACTGTCTGCAAGTGTTCTAGAATTAAATTAGATCTCATTTCCTGGAACTCTGGAAACACCCAACATAATTAACTCTTTGTAGATTTTCTGAAGCATTACTCATGTTCATTTTTGATCATGAAAATAAATTAAAACAATGTAAAATTGGATTCTAAGTCAAACTACCATCAATGTGAAACCCCTGATACAAGAAATACTATAAGAATAATTTAGTTTTCTGTTGCATTAAAAAATATATAAATTATGATTCAACTTCTATTTATTTCTGGTCTAACCAAGAAAAAATTTAAATCAATCACAAAAAGTTTAACATGTATAATAAGACAATTTCGAAACATTTGTATTATTCTTTCCTTCCTCCAATTTTACCTTAAAATGCTAAATTTTAGAATGAAAGTTAAATGCCAAAACTGTACAATTGGTTTGAATTCTAAAAACTTGCAATTTACCATCAACATGATGATAATAATCTGGCCTAGATCCCTGCAGTTCTGAAGATCTATCATGCCAAGGAACTTTAGCTTCTTCCTTGTGCATTAAATCTTCTTTGCTTTCTCTGGGTTTTTGCTTATCATGAGGGGGAGAAATTGGACTATTTTGAGGGTTGGTAAGCATAGTTGATGGTTGAAGCCCTCTGATCTCGGCAGCTGAGTTAGGAGCTTTATTTTCAGAATGATGAGATAAGTCAAATTTCTGGACCTTACCTGAAACATCTTTTGAAATTCCTGCAGAAGATAAGAATAAAACCCAAACATTTATTTACAAATTAAAAAATTCATAAAAAAGATGGAATTTTTTTTTTACTATGCATATGTTTCTATGTATCAAACTATACTTAAAATATTTTTAAAAGAATGCCAATTTAAAAAAATTCTCAAATAAAAAGAACAAAAAGAATATTTCAATAATTTCAATATAAATTGAAAATAAAATTTTCAGCAGTAGTTATCATATTGTAAATCAGCCTAATTGCAAGTAAAAGCATTATAAATAATGATCTAGAAAAGCTGAAGGAAATGATGTACTATATAATTTACTGCTTTTAGTTAGTTATTTCTTACCTGGAGCCAATAAAACTGGTTATTGTTTTAATCATTAATTCCTTTTCACACATACTTTTTTATACAGTATTTTTTTATTTTAAAGTACTTAATAAGAATTAAAGATGGGATTTGATCCTGATAACATGTTTGGCTAAAATCAGTTTAAGCTGTAAGAGCTCTTCTTTTTTTCTTTCCTTGTTTTATTTATTTATTTTCAAAAATGTGTTTCTTATTCAAATTATGAGAACAAAATTTCTTTTACTTAAATTTGTAAAGCTTTCTTTTATATGTAGACTGTTATTTTCAAATCTTCTTGGAGTGGGTTCTGGCTAATAGTAATCTGTATATCTGTGAGTAAGTGAGCCATGTATGAGACTAAAACAATAATAATAATGTTCTAATTATTACAAAAATCTAATAAATAGTAAAGCTTAATCTATTGAACATCAAAATTCTTACAGTAGTCAGCATTGCCATCAACTCTAGCCATAGCAAAGTTAACATTTTTACTAATATTACCCTTAATTTAGATGTTACAAAGCTAATTTCAAAATCTTCATCTGATATTTTGTAGTGGTGGCTCTGTATGCTAATTCACTAGTAAAATGCTTATTCACTAAAAAAATATGTAATTGGAATTCAGTGAGATCTGTTTTGAAATAGCATCTAGGTATTGATAAATTTTCCAATTTAGAAATGTCCTTATGCCAGGTCTCCCATTTAACTTTCAAATCCTCATTTAGTTCTTCATCCCATCCTACACCTATCTCCCATATTTTGTACTGATCTGGGCACTGATCTGCACTGATAGGGTGTAAACATATACATTTAAAATTTTCTTCGTGATTAACACTTCAAATTCTATTTTCTCAGGATCACTGCACTTTTGTATTTGGGTTCTTAATACTCTGAATAAATTTTCCTCTGGATCATGATTTTCAAAAGTATAAACAATAAAATTCTCTTTTCTTATAATTGGAAGTTTTATCTCATATGCTAATGATTTCATGATAAAGGAACCCACTGAAGCATTATTAAATAATACTCTTATTATTTTCGATCTACAAGGCATTACAATTCTCAAGGGGCTTGTTTATAACAAAACTGAATTTGAGTCTTTTATTTGTTTGTAACATGATACAGATGAAACTATCATTTAAGACTTATTGTCATTTTCTTTTGTTATCAACACTTTCATTGGGTGCAGTGGCATAGCTAGGGTGGGGCAAAGGGGGACAGACGTCCCCCTTTGCCATTCAGGGTTCACTAAATTGATGTTACAAAATTTTAGAATAAAATGTTTTCCATCCTTGGCATACAGAAAAGGGCACAAAATCTTCAGTTGTCCCTGGGCATTGAAAACCCTAGCTACGCCTCTGATTGGGTGAACTTTTGGTTTATATATATATATACACTGAAGTGACAAAAGTCATGGGATAGCAATATGCAAATATACAGATGGCAGTAGTATCGCGTAGAAAATGTGTAAATGCGAAGTGCTTTGGCAGGGCTTTCATTTGTGTTCAAGTTATTCACGTGAAGAGGCTTTGACGTGATTATTGCTGCACGACGAGAATTAACAGACAATGAACGCGGAATGGTAGTTGGAGCTAGACGCATGGGTCATTCCATTTTGGATATCGTTAGGGAATTCAACATTCCGAGATCCACAGTGTCAAGAGTGTGCCGAGAGTATCTAATTTCAGGCATAACATCCCACCATGGACAGCACAGTGGCCGACCACCTGCACTTAACGACCGAGACCAGCAACGTCTGCGTAAAGTTGTCAATGTTCACAGACAAGACACTGCATCAAATAACCGCAGAAATCAATGTGGGATGTATGAGGGATGTGTCCAATAGCACAGTGCGGCGAAATTTGTCTTCCTTGGGCTATGCCAGCAGAAGACCGACTCGAGTGCCTTTACTGACAGCACGACATCGCCTGCAGCGACTCTCGTGGGCTCGTGAGCATATCGGTTGGTCCCTAAATGAATGGAAATCCGTGGCTTGATCAGATGAGTCACGATTTCAGTTGGTAAGAGCTGATGGTAGGGTTCGAGTGTGGCGCAGACCCCACGAAGCCATGGACCCAAGTTGTCAACAAGGCACTGTTCAAGCTGGTAGTGGTTCCATAGTGGTCTGGGCTGTTTTTACATGGCATGGACTCGGTCCTCTGGTGCAAATGAACCAATCATTGACTGTAAATGGATACCTTCAGCTACTTGGAGATCACTTACAGCCATTCATGGACTTCATGTACTCAAACAACGATGGGATTTTTATGGATGACAATGCACCATGTCACCGGGTCACAATGGTTCGCGATTGGGTAGAAGTAACATTCTGGACAATTCCAGCGAATGATTTGGCCACCTAGATCGCCCAACATGAATCCCATCGAAAATTTACGGGACATCATCGAGAGGTCAGTTTGTGCCCAAAACCCTGCACCGTCAACACTTTCACAATTATGGACGTCTATAGAGGCAGCATGGCTCAATATTTCTGCAGGGGACTTCCAACGACTTGTTGAGTCCATGCCACGCCGAGTTGCTGCACTTCACCGGGCAAAAGAAGGACGGACAAAATATTAGGAGGTATCCTTCCATGACTTTTGTCACTTCAGTGTATATATATATTTAAAGCAAATACTCTCATGATGATTATTAGAAGTACATTACCTACATGAATTTAATTTTGATCTACAATTAACATTCAAATGGGATTTTTTGTAGCATTTAAAGCAAAGACCTTTGAACCTTTAGCTTGTTTGGTTTTTTCTGCGGGTGAAAGAACTTCACATGAAATGAATTGTGGCTCATGTTGTAGAATACAAAGTTAACTTTTACATTCATTGAAAATGCAGCTGTAAATTAATTAATATGCTTAAATTATTTTTTACTTATTTCATCCTTAAAATAATAGCTAGAAACTGTCATATTTTTAGATTTCTTCAAATAGTGTAATAAGCAGAAAGCTTCACAGTTTTCTATTTCAATTTTTAAGAATTCAACTAATTCTAAAATATCAAATTTTGTTTTTGATTTCTGTTTTCTATGGTATATTAAAGCTATCTCTTCCAGAACCAATTTCATTGAAATAGACACAATAAATGACCGTACCTTTCCGTAACTGCATTTAAAGTTTCCAGGGATCTAATATTAGTTTCTACTTCATTCTATAATTTTTGAAGAGCTGCAATATATCACATGCACTTCACTGGATCCAAGCTTAGTAGCTTCATCATATGACTGTTAATTATGATGTTGTTTCTGCTGACACACTCTTTTAGCAAAGTGATGTTTTTATTTCAATTTTCACTTGTTAAGAGTAAATCCTTTAATTGCATTCAGCAATTCCCCCTAAAAAACATTCCAAGTATGAAAATTTTTCAACATTAGATAAAGTTTTGTTTTCTTTCAGAGTTACAGGAGTCGGGCATAAAAAAAAAGCCATGGTATGTGGCTTTAAAAATGAATAAAAAATTATATAACATGAAAAATTATGATGAGTGATTTATTTATATGCTGCGTTTGCTATTTGTATTTTCTTTATCTTTAACTAAATAAAAAAAATGATATGTTCATTAAAACTTCCAGAAAGACTGGCAACATCTCCACCAACTTTCATGTTATGCAGAATTTCATAATCGGATCAAGATTGAAATGCAACTTTTTTTTTCAAAATCTTAATTTTGAATACAGTCAAAAGTCGTTAATTCGGACACCCATAATCCGGAATGATCTATAATCCAGACCTCAAAGCTAAAAACTTTCTGCGCATGCGCCGCGTTGGCCCATGCGCACAGGCGTTTTACGTGTGCGCGAAAGACCTTCACTACTGCGCATATGCGTGTGCGCAAGTGCAGAATACGTTTTCGCCTGCGCGTTTAATGTATAACCGACGGTATGGTGTAAAGCTAAAATTATCTAATTATCTATTTCAGTCGCGTTAATGTTAATGATTGCGTTGTTCTTTAATCTTCGAATTGGATCCCGTTTATTATTTTTTGCAGACTGTAAGAGCAATTTTATAAAAGTAAACTTGAACTTTTGATTATGTCCAATAGAATTTCCGATGCTGGAACTTCCAAAGGATCTACAAAATGAAAGTATGTTTCGATGTCCAACAAACAAAAAGTGGAATTGCTGCAAAAAATGGATAAAGACATGAAGAATGTGACAGAGAGGTTGGTGAAAACGAAAAAATTTCGATTGACAAGTTAGTCGGTATTCTCGGCACAGCAATTAACGGGACTTGAACAGCGGAACTTTGTAACTGAACAAGAAATTATGTCTGTTTATAGAATTAAAGGGAAAGTATTATCACATAAAAACGAAGCAACTTAAACAACTTACATTGAAAGAAATGTTTAATAAAGTAAACAAATAAATATTAAGCTTTTTTTTTTTTTTTTTTTTTTTTTTTTTTTTTTTGTAAATTTTGATACCCTTTAGATCATAATTGTCCTTTATTTCATAAAATTACGGTTTTCATATTTTTAATTTTAGAATTTCTGCATGCCATCTTACAAGATTTAAACTGATGATCTATAATCCGGAAAAATCAATAATCCAGAATCACCGAAGTCCCGACGAGTCCGGATTAATGACTTTTGACCGTATTGGCTTTTAGTATTCAAGTAGATTATTTTTATGATTTTACAACAGAAATTTTACCCACTAATTTGGCTATTTAAATGTGAATTCTGTTTTTTGTATATGTTCAACTATCCAGAATTTTCATGTATTCGTAATTCAGCATTTTCCAAGCTTTCCAAAAAATCAAGCTTTTACTGTAAATATCTGTTTGATTTATTTAGTATTTAAACCACATAATTATTCTACAGAGTATGATAACTAAACTCGTTTACCTCAATCTACAATCTCATTGATTGAAAAAGCAATTATGAGACCTTTCTGAATTTTAGAACAAAAAAAGAAGTTCTTATTTTAGAGTGAATATGGCAATTATACTACATTATATAATAATACTTATAGATGTGTAAACATTTTGCTGTATAATGACAAAAAGGATAATAATGCAGGGACATAATAATTGTATAATGACAAAAAGGATAAGTAATTGAAATATAAGCAACATACAAATGTATTTAATGGAATTAAAAAGAAATAAAACTATTATTATTTATTATTTAATTTTAATTTATAAATATATTAAATACAAAAAAATCAGAATTTTTTAACCGTTCTTTTCTCTCATCTGATGTAAATCATTGCCTACATGCATATTTCTAAAACACTCTGCGAATATTCAATTTGTCAAGTCTCATCAACTGTCTATTGAACTGCTACCATTAAATGGAATAATAAGAGCACTAAAATAATGTATTCGATTATCTACATTGTTTAAGAATTATTTAAAATAAATTATTTCTGTTGTACTGAAAATTTCAATTATAATACTTACAAATTAAATCATGAATTCCATTACAAAGACAGAAGTGAAATATAAAAAATACGTGAGATGCACAGCAGATCGAAAATACAATGAAATAATGAAGACACAAGGGAAAGTGGGAGCAAAATATCTAAATTAAATTAATACAGTACATAAGCAAACTAAATTTTAAATGAAGCAGAACATCTCTTTTCTGGCTTCATTTAAAGGAAAATAAAATTTTTAATTGCTAAACTTATCTAATCCCTTAAATCCTGGAACAGATGATTAATTAGAATATCCCCAGAAATTAAATGAACAGTAGGTAAATTTAGAACACTTTTCCTTTTATATTCTGTAAAATTTGATCATCTAAAAATAGATGAGAAAATAAAGAATTAAAAACAGATGATATTTTTGCATTTTTGTACAAGTTCATAACAGAAGTAATACTCCTGCATATGGCACTACTGAATAATCACATGAACTAATCCCCCAATGAACAAGAGGGCAGAAAAACACAGGAGCAAATCTGAATAAATAATCCTTCACAAACAAAACAGATAGCTTTCAAATCATGAGCTTAAAATAATAAATATTAAATATTATTAAAAATGCAGGTGCTCTGTAAAGTTAATTCTATAAAGTTACATTTACAAAATAATAATAATAATCTGTACATATAAGTCACCTTTTATTGGACATTTCAGCTCATTGCTTTCATCACTTCCATCAGGACACTGAGGTATTCCATCACAAACATTATAAATTGCGATACATTCACTGTTATTTAAGCACTGGAACTGATAATGGTGGCATCTGCTTTCTACAAAGAAATGTTGCATTTGCATATATTCAAAATTTCATAACAAGATAAAACATATTTTTGACATTATAATTTAAAAAACTGCTGAATTTCTTTTAATGGTTGCAGCAATGTAAATGTAGTTATTTCACTTTAATGACTTAAATAGGAAATGTATGGAATATAAATTGTGCTTTTCAAAACTTGATTAAACAATATAAATTTCAATGAATATCACAGATACTTTTGAAGAAAAGTAAAAGATTATTTCAGCAATCATATGGAGCTAAAAATGAAAATCAAACATCTATTCTTAGCCAACTCTTTTATTCAAATACTTAAACCTAAAATTATTATAATCTGTTAGGAAGAATTAATTTAGTCTTAGAATAAACTTTAGTACATTAAACTAAGCATAATTTATATCATTACTTAAAGATTAGTGATAAACTTAACTGTTGTAATGATTATTTAAAACAATCAGTGTTGTCAATTTTGCACATAATAAAACAGTTCCGACATGCATATGATAATTAGCAATTTATTAAGTTACATTCTTTTATTATTTTGTTGTCAAAACAGTGACTCCACATGTTTCCCATGCTATTTTTGAATGTTTTATGTCATCCCAAAAAGAGAAGAAATATATATATAAAGGAAATAAAATCAAATACGATGTCTTTCAGTGTTTTAAGAAAGATTCACTGAAAAATATTTTGTAACATCGTGGTAATTTCTTTTAAAATATACAGTCTAAAAATAAAGGTCTCTTACTATTCTTTCTCTCTTCTGTCAACAGCTTACTTACAGATAATGTGTCCCAATTCAGGAAATAATAGATGCCAACTTGATCCACACTTACGCTTCTTGGCATTTCACTCGACGACTCGATCGAGGTTATTGTACTCTGATCACCATTTTTAGACCATTCATAGATCCAACTTCTCCTCTTCACAAAAAACTGGACGATTTTTACTCCTGGAGTCTTCCACTTCTTTCTTGCACTCAACATAATGGATCTTTCTTTCTGCACTCATTTCATCAGAGCATCAAAATTTATTATTATGTAAAGTGCTAGGTGCCTGTCTGGCTACTGGATAATAAAGCCCTTGTATGGTTGACATGTAATAAGGCCCCTGTTTAGCTGATGAATAGCTAGGGCTTATTTTAGGGATAGGGCTTATATTAGAAGAACCCTAAAAAATCATGCTAGGGCTTACTTTTTTATTAGGTCTCATTTTCAAAGAAACATGGTACATATACACACGCAGTCTTTATTAAATATGTATACACAACATAAAGACATGATTTAAATATTTTTGAGCAGTTGTTTCGAGGCATGATTTCACTTTGGGAAATAAATCAAATAAGATATGGTTTCAAACTAAGTTAATTTTTATCTATGACACTTTTAGAAAATACAAAAATTATAATTTAATAATTTTTTTACAACTCTCTTTGAACAAAGCAACTTCTCAAACTACTGAAGATTCTTTTGCAGCAAAAAATTGGCTCAGAATGGTAATTACCCTTGATGTTGCGAGAGAAACATTGTGGCCATAATAAGGTAAAGACAAAATGTCACAAAAATAATATAGCCATAAGATTCTGGATTCAAAATGACCTGCAGACAAAATAACCACTTGCAGTAAATACAATTTTGGTTTCCAAAATTACAGATTTCTAGAAGGTCGTGCAAAGTTTTGATGTTCTCTGTTCAACAAACATCAGCATTATCTGCTTAACATTTAGACCTTAAGTTTACTTTATATTAAGTTATTTTAACTTAAATAAGTAAAAAATATCACAATTTGATGCATTTATTTAAGCTAAATACACAATGGCTGGCTGAAAAGTTTTGAGACTGCTATTATTTCTCTTCTAAATACCTCACATGGCAACTGGCATTGAATTTCTTGAAAACAGTACATTGATGTGTTTAAAACTGCAATTTGATTAACATACAATATTTGATTACAGTGAACAGAGTTTAAACAGGTCTTAGCCCAATACTGTTGCCTGTTTGCTAACTTTAAATTAAATGCACTGCTCTTACTTCTTAATGATACTAGTATTCATGTTTTTCAAATATGTATCACCAAGAAAATGTTTTTAAAGTATGTCATTTCTTTTTTTTTTTTTTTTATCTTAGTTTATTTAAATAACTAACCTAAGAGACATATTTCTTATTTTTAGAAAGATTTTACCACAATGTTGCTCTATGACAATGAAAATCCAAATCGACTTGGGAAAAGGCCACTATGAAATACCTGAAATGCTACAATATATATATAACAATGAAATGTTTAGCCATGCCTTAGTGATGATAGAGGCCATGAAAGATTTAAAACACCCATTACGGCAGGTATAGATGCATTGCAGCTATAGATGTCAACAATGTATGTCTAGGAAAAAACATGCAAAGAAAAACTTTGCCTGGAGCTGTGAGGAAGAAAAGGCCAGACTTGCTGAAGAAACATTTTTCCCTCCATTCACAATACCCGGCAGCAGCTTGGTATTGTGAGAGTGGCAGCACTGTTTGAAAGCAGTCTGTTTAATTATACTCTGCATATAGCCTCAGCTAGTAAAATATAATTTCTTGTCATTTTCCACACTGTAAAATGAAATTGTATAGGTAGAGTTTCTCTTCAAATAAGGAAGCAAAAAACACCCCATCTGTACGGCTTTTTAAAGAAGATGAAATCAGAGTTTATTTCATGATTTTAAATTATTTATAAAATGCTGTGACAATTATAGTTCAATGTGAAGGACTCAGGGCTTGTAACAGTCATTTCATTCTGATTAATAAAATCAATCTTAAAACCTTTCAATCAACATATATAATTAACGAAAAATAAGAATAGCTTACAAATATATTTTTAAAAAAGTACATTTTTTTTATTTTGAAGAAAGAGGTTCATTTCACCAATTGTTCAACTTTCTGCTGTTTTCAATGTTGAACTCTTCTGCCACATCAAGCATTGTTCTCAAAGCCGCATTTCTCCATTAAAATTTCTTTGTATACTCTCATATTGTTTCTAGCATTCTCTTATCTCGTTAGTGATGCTTTTGTGGTTTTATTTTTTTTCCATTGGTATGCTTGAAAAATAATGCTTCCCCCTCTCATCCCTTGAAATTGTACATTATACCAAATATTCAGGGCTTAAATTCGGACAGAGCCCAGCTGAGCTTAGTTTTTGAAAAAATTTTTCAGTCAGAGCCCCAAATAAGATGAGATCCAATATTTTATTTCTTTTATTTGATTATTTATCATGAATTTAATAACTTATTAAATTTTTATTTTTATAGCTTATATTTTATTGTTCATTTAATTATTAGTAATTTTTTTATCTACGAGGGTCAGTCAAAAAGTTAGTTGCACTGCCTATGAAAAGAAAACAGGAGCAAAATTTTACAATAACTTTATTTATATCTTAAAGTTCCATTCATAATCTACTTTTCAATGTAATTACCTCCATTGTTTAAGCATTTGTTGAGGTGTGGTACAAGTTTTTCGATGCCTTCTGCAAAGAAATCCCGTCCAATGTCCGATAACCATTCTTGGCTTCCAGCTTTCAATTCGGCACCCGAATGGTACCATCGCTTTGAAAGTTCTTGTTTCTTGGGACCAAACACATGGAAGTCAGGAGGTGAAAGGTCTGGGCTATAAGGAGGGTGATTTCACACTTCCCAGCTAAACTTTTTCAGATGGTCACATGTTTGTTTTGCTGCATGCGGTCTTGCATTGTCATGCAGGAGCACAATGCTGTTCGACAGTTTACCTGGCCGTCAATTTTTAAGTGATTGTCGCAATCATTTTAGTATTTCACAATAAGAAAAAGCATTAATTGTGGCACCCTTCGGCATGAACTCTGTATGCACCACGCCTTCTCTGTCAAAAAACAGCGTCATCATCAGCTTTCCTGCAGATAGAACAGTTCGACACTTTGTTCGTGTTGGGGAACTGCAATGTTCCACTCGAGCGAGCTGCGTTTAGTTTCAGGTGAGAAGTGGTGAATCCAAGTTTCATCTACAGTTACCATTTTCTCCAAAAGGTCATTTCCCTCCATTTGGTAATGTTGCAGAAATGCAAATGCACTTTCAAAATGCTTTACTTTATGTTCCTCCGTCAATAGATGTGGCACCCATCGAGCACAAACTTTACAAAATTTAAGGTGATCGGCAATAATTTTATGCACCCTTCCATGAGAAATATCCAGTTCATTTAAGATTTCGTCTATCATTATGTGTCTGTTTGCAAGAATGCATTCATTCCCGTGAGCAGCGATTTTCAAATTTGTCGCAGTTGATGGTTTTCCCTCACGCTCAGCGTCGTCAATATCTGTACGTCCATTCTCAAACATGTTGAACCATTTAGCAATAGCTCGACGTGACATTGCATTTTCACCATACATTTCATGCAACTGCCCATAAATTTCAGTGCAGTTGCACCTTTTTGCCCCCCCCCAAAAACGAATCACTGCACGCATTTCCAATTTGGACGCTATTTGCAGCTGTCGAGACATGTTTGCAACTGATTATCAGAAAAACTAAACTTGCCTTGGGGAAGCCGCTACGTCATGGAATAAAGATACATGTCTGAAGTGTTGCCACACGGTGTCATCCAAATAGTCTTAGATGGAACATATTTACGCAGTAGTGCAACAAACTTTCTGACTGACCTACCTATTTTTGTCCTTCTTCTTGATGGCCTTCCATTGGGCTCCAGCACTTCTGATTTTAGAAATTAAGCTCTGGGTTCATTTACAGTTTTAATGGTCTATGAAAATTAATTTGCTTACAATTTTAATAATTAATGGAACTCTATCATTAAACAAAAATCATAATGAGAGCTATTTTTGAGTTATTCCAAGACAACATAATTTGCATGTTACTTACGGTATCAGCATAATACAATTAATGATATAGCAAGCAGCATAACAGAGGAACACTGAATATGGGAAAACTGAACACATACAGTACAAAGTCCGCGATCCGGATGTCCATTATCCGGAATGATCTACAATCCGGACCTCAAAGCCACAAACTTTTTTTTTTGTATCCTTTACGCATGCGCATAATGTGTTTATGCATGCATGTTTTATGTATAATGGATGGTATAAGCTAGGCTAAAATTATCTTTCCCGATTCTAAGGCATTTCAGTTAATGGTGCAGATTATGCTGTTCCTTAATCTTCTAATTGGATCCAGCTTATTATTTTTTGCAGACTGTTAGAGCAATTTTATAAAAATTAAGCTTGAACTTTTGATTATGTCAAAAAGAGTTTCCAATTCTGGAGCTGCCAAAGGATCTACAAAGCGAAAGCATATTTCGATGTCCATCAAACAAAAAGTGGAATTGCTGCAAAAGATTGATAAAGGCATGTCCGTCTCAAAATTATGCGAGGAATATGACATTGGAAAGTCAACTGTATATGCCATAAGCAAAAAGGAAAAAGGAACTTTTTGAATTTTTTGTGGATTCCGACACCCCACTTGCAATGAATAACAGAAAAAGGGTTTGTTATGCTAAAAGTGACGATCATGACAAAACAATGATTGAATGAGTCAGACAGCATAGCAGCGAGGGCATGCCATTGATGGGTCCAATGCTAATGGCTCAAGCGAAAATATTTCATGAAGAAATGAACTTAATCATATTCGACAGGTCAATTTAAAATTGCCATCGTATAAGACAATTAAAAATTTCAGGTGAAATATATTCACCAGGTTGGTTAACCAAATTTAAAAATTGCCATCATATAAGACAATTAAAAATTTCAGGTGAAAAAGCTTCAGCTGATACTGAAGCTGCTGAACAATTTGCAGATGAATTCATTGAACTCATTACTAGTGAACAATTATCTCCAGAACAAATTTACAACACTGATGAAACTGGTCTTTTCTGGCAACATGTACTGCAAAATACCTTGGCAACCTCTACAGAAAGGGCTCCAACTGATGTCAAAGATTCCAAAGCAAGACTACAATTTTAGCGTGCGCAAATGCTGCAGGAACGCACAAGTGCAAACTTTTCGTAATTAGAAAACATGCACGACCTTGAGCACTTAAAGGAGTAAAGATTTTCCCCGTTATATATCGCACAAATAAAAGAGCATGGATGACACAAGCGTTGATAAATGATTGGTTTAAAAACCATTTTAAACCTGAGGCTCCGTGACATTTGAATTCGGTTGGTTTACCTGATGACTCAAAAATAGTCCTGATTGTTGACAACTGCTTGGCGCAAACTTCAATTAAAGTTTTAGGGAAGGATAATGTATCCGTATTATTCTTCCCTCCAAATTGTACGTCTATCATTCAGCCTATGAATATGAGAATAATGCACTTGCTGACATGCAAATATAAAGTAGCATTTTAAAAATCTATGTTAAATTTCTTGAAAAATGGCAAGACTATTCAAGACTTTTTGAAATTTTTTAGCATAAAATCTGCTGTGTGGAGCATCGCAAGATAGCGGGAGGATGTGTCTCCAGATACATTAAAAAATGCTTGGCATAATTTATGGCCAGCTACCATATTTCATGGTGAGGACTATGAAGAAGATAGCCATGAATTTGAAGGTTTTTGGACATTGCAAACTAAAGGTGAAATTTTCCAGTTATTGGATTTTGTAAAGAAATGTGGAGAAGCAGTAATAAATGAAGATGATATAACAGAAGTTTTTCATTGCGACGGCAATGCACCAATCATCAATTAATGGATGGCGAAATCTGTGATATGGTTCTAAATCCAGAAAATACCACTACCAATAGTGAAGAAAATGATAGAGGTTATTGAAAATGAAAAAGTTTCGATTGACAAGTTAGTCGGTATTCTCAACAGATCAATTACAGGACTTGAACAGTGGAACTTTGTAACTGAGCAAGAAATTATGTCTGTTTATAGAATTAAAGGGAAAGTATAAGCACAAAAAAAAAAAAAAAAAAAAAAAACCGAAGCAACTTAAACAACTTACATTGAAAGAAATGTTTAATAAAGTAAAGAAATAAATACTAAGGTTTTTTTTTTTTTTTTTTTTTGTAGATTTTGATACTTTTTAGATCATAATTGCTCTTTATTTCATAAATTACGATTTTATATTTTTAATTGTATAATTTCTGCATGTCATCTTACCAGATTTAAATTGATGATCTAATATCTGGAAAAATCCCAAATCTAGAATTGCCAAGGTCCTGACAAGTCCAGATTATGGACTTTGTACTGTACTAGATATACATTTTGAAATCACCTGTTTTGTCTGATTTCTCTGAAGCAGTAGGTAAAGCTGGTGTTACTGTAAAAGAATTTTGTTCAACAGGTACAGAAGTTGAAGAGAGCCTACCACCATTGACATCGGTATTACGTAACTGAGCAAGCTCCTCTTCATGTTTAACTTGATTTCCCCACTGACTAAGATCATAGGAATGTTGAGAAACTTTTAGTACAGAGCTTACAAAAAAATTATGAGTAGTGAACTTGCATAGAAAGGCAGATGGTGGGCCACAGTTGAACATGTAACAACTACGCACAGTCTGAAAGAGAATATCACACAAACATGAAATTTCATACATACACATATATATCTTCATACAATTGATTTAAAGGCATTGTGTGTGTGCATTATTCTGAAAATTTGATGAAAATTTGGCGCATGTGGCTAAACTCTTCTTCATAAGAAATATATAGCAGAGTTATAGATTTGTAAATAAATGAATAAAAGGATTGTAACTATGATACTAAAAAAAAAAAAAAAAAAAAAAAAATCCCCACCCCCTTATTTTCACATATACACAGTCTAACCTAAAAATATATTTATGAAGACAGTTTATTATTTATCCCTTAATTGTTACATTCAAAGATAATATATTTACTTATTTTTACTTCTGGTACAAACTTTTACACCATTTAATTATTCCTCTAGTAGAACAACTTTAACATTTTCAGTGCATATAGCTATTTTACATTAAACCCTACATTATGTTTAATGCTTTTAGGAATGGAAATTAGAAATGCAACATTTAGTATCCTATGATGCTACTTCATATGCAGGAAAATAAAAGAAAAACTGCTACCATAAGTTAACTTAATATATTCTGGATTCTGTTTTGTAATAATATAAAATTTAATTTTTTTTAATTTTAAAACACTTTTGTATGGACCTTTATGCTACAAATAATAAACATAAATTTTTACATTAAAATCTCAGTTTTTAACAAGCAATGCTATCACTTTGGTATGTACTCTTTTTTGTTGTATTTCAAGTTCCAATGGTGTTCTGTAATCAAATAATAAATATTTTTTATCTTAAACTTATTTTAAAATATGTGTTTGTGAAATTTGCCTGCAATGAAAGAAACTGTGGTAAAATTGTGGCAGAATGCAGTGTTCTGCAGGAAAAATCACTAAACGAAATAACTGCTTTGAAGCTGTTCTCAAAACGTTAACTACAAAATTCCCACTATAACAAGCAAAACTAAAACTTACTTGTAAATAAGTTTATTGATTGACTTTCAAGATAAATACCTAATCATAATGTAAAATATGAGTGTAATAGCATGTATGTAATAAATATTTTTTTTTTTTTTTTTGGAATTATACATCATCACTTTTTTCTTTTAAAAACTTCCAAAGTGTGTGAGGTACTTGCAACAATACATAAGTCCTTAAACGTTAGTCAGAGAGCATATTGTCACCATTTATCCTGCATATTAAATGTGTGTTAATGGCACCTTCTAATTAGTATTTGAACTAGCTCTTCAAATACTAATTAGACATTGGAAGACAGGAAGTATTAGACAGGAAGTATTTGACAGAAAGTATTTGACACATTAAGTAATTGAAAGAAAGATGTTTCAAAATATGTTTCATTACATATGAACAGAATACTTTTATTTTTATAAAAAGTGTAACATCCTACAACTATGAACAGTAACTGTGAACAGCTATTCGCATTCAAATAGGAAGAGAAATACGCCAAATTAAACTGTTACAATTACATTACAGAGACTGTAAAAAATTGCCTAATTATTGCTGATGCCAAAAATAATTATAGTAGCCCTAAAGCAAGAAAAGAAGCATAATACTAAATAAATATCTAAAATTATTATTTTAATTTAGATGAAACATTAATTTCATATAATACATTTTTTATTGTTATAATTTATTAAAAAAAAGGTTAAACATAATTGAATGGAAGCATAACTATCTCGGATTATTATTTTAATTTGGCTGAAAGGTTAATTTCATATAATGTACTTTTTATTACAGTACCAAGTCCGAAATCCGGACATCCATTATCCAGAATGATTCAAACCTCAAAGCCACAAACATTTTTTTGTTGTTGTTGTTGTTTTTTGTATGCTTTATGCATGTGCATTTGATTTTTGCTTCCATAAAAAACATATGGAGATTTTCACTTAAACATTCCGATTTTTAATTTCACTTAGGCACTAAATAAAATACCTTGTTATGGAAAAACAATCATATAAGCATAAATTTGTGAGATTAATAATTTGGCTCCATAGCTGAGTGTCTGCTTGGCATATATCTCAAACCGAAACATTTGCCTATTTCATATCCCTGACGCCAACCTGACATTATATATTATATTTTCCTTTCATCACTGCATGTTTATCAATATATGACAGCTTCAGTAACAACTCATGCAGTGATGTGTAAACTTTTTTTATATTAATAACTGAATAACAAAAGTATGGCACCCTTTTATGCTAACATTATGCTTGGCGATGATTATAGATTTTTAAATGCTCTAAGAAATGTTAACGAGGAAAAATTCAACAAAAATTTCTTTTCACATGCCAAAAATAGATTTTGTTAATGAAACCCATAGGCCAAAAGATTACATTTAGTACTATTTTAATTAAGAATAACTGATATGTTATTCACCATTAATCCAGAAGCGGCAGCAGAATATGTTCGCACCGGGCGGCAAGAATTTAAGGAAGACAAAATTTTTGGAATTTGGGGAAGCTCCGAGCAGCAAAATTAAGGAACGAGAAGTTTTTTTTATAATATGAGCCGAACAGTTGTCTACAATTAGGACTAATTTTGAGTTATCAGGTAAACCAACTGAATTCAAATGTTGTCGAGCCCTGGGTATAAAACAGATATGCATTTTCATTGCAATGACGATGCCCCAACCATCAATCAACGGCAAATGTTTCATAACCGGAAAACATGCACGACCTCAAACATTTAAAGGAGTAACGATTTTCCCCCGTTATTATATCGTTCAAATAAAAGAGCATGGATGACATAAGCGTTGATGAATGATTGGTTTGGAAATCATTTTATACCCAGGGCTCGGCAACATTTGAATTCAGTTGGTTTACCTGAGGACTGAAAATTAGTCCTAATTGTAGACAACTGTTCGGCTCATACTTCAATTAAAGTTTTGGTGAAAGATAATGTATCTGTATTATTCTTCCCTCCAAGTTGTATGTCTGTCATTCAGCCTATGGACATCGGAATAGTGCGCGCACTAAAATGCAAATATAAAGTAGCATTTTTAAAATGTATATTAAATTTCTTGAAAAATGGCAAGACGATTCAAGAATTTTTTAAATATTTTAGCATAAAAATTTGCTGCGTGGAGCATCACAAGATCATGGAAGGATATTTCTCCAGATACGTTAAAAAATGCTTGCCATAACTTTTGGCCAGCTACCATATTTCATGGTGAAGACAATGAAGATGATAGCCGCGAATTTGAAGATTTTCGGATATTGCAAACTAAAGGTGAATTTTTCCAGTTAATGGATTTTTGTAAAGAAATGTGGAGAAGTAGTAATAAATGAAGATGCACGGTAATAAATGAAGATGATATAACAGAAGTTTTTCATTGCGATGACAATGCCCCAATCATCAATCAACAGACGGCGAAATCGGTAGTATGGTTCTAGATCCAGAAAATACCGCTACTGATAGTGAAGAAAGTGACAGAGAGGTTCTTGAAAACAAAAATAGTTCGATTCGCAAGTTAGTGAGTATTCTCGACACAGCAATTACAGGACTTGAACAATGGAACTTTGTAACTGAACAAGAAATTATGTCTCTTTATAGAATTAAAGAAAAAGTATTAGCACAAAAAAAGAAGCAACTTAAACAACTTACATTGTAAGAAATGTTTAATAAAGTAAATAAATAAATGTTAAGCTTTTTTTTTTTTTTAAATTTTGATACCCTTTAGATTATAATTGCTCTTTACTTCATAAATTACAATTTCATATTTTAATTGTATAATTTCTGTATGCCATCTTACCAGATTTAAATTGATGATCTAATATCCGGAAAAATCCCAAATCCGGAATCGTCGAAGTCCCGATGAGTCCGGATTAAAGACTTTGTACTGTATTATTATTCAAACAATCAATGCCATTTTACAAGATGTTTATAAAGTCTCTATACATTTTTGAGAAATATGAGTCCAGATTTCGGAATTTGTACTGTATTATTATAAGGCAATGCCTGAACATACCTGAAAGAAAGTGTAATAGTAATTAACTATCTCAGATTATTAATTTAACTTGATGAAAGGTTAATTTCATATAATAGACTTTGTTATTATTTTAATTCATAAAAAAAAAGGTTAAACATAAATGAAATTAAACGGGAGGCATAAAATTGGGTAAAAATATATTTATGGCTCCTCCTTTGTGAAAACTGGCGATTTTTGGAGGTACATGAATACCGAGTTGGTGCAATTCTTGTTACTTTGTGTAGCGGCGATTTTTAATCGCCGCTACACAAAGTAGTTCGGTCAAACCATCAAAACTAGTCCTGTGAAAATATAATGCTGACTTTTCTTGTTTGACTTCTAAATTATTACTTGTTTGACGTGTTATTGTATCTAAATTTCTGGAACAAAGTACCACTGCTCAATCCTCTCAGTCGCTCACAAGTCAATGAAGGCAAATTAATACAAAGAGAAATTCTTATATAGTGCGTTATATAATTACAGTAATCAGTGATTACTGATCTCTAAGATTCATCATGAAACATTTTACAGAAAGTTACATACATTTAAGTTGATTAGATGTCCCAAGATAAGACAATCAAAGATTTATGCACTGTAACTCTGATTCAGCCAGCAAAATCGGATTTTATAAATAGTCAACATGAATTTTGGGTACTTTTCTGTTTTGCCAGTGCAAATCTCGCCAAGCAGATTTTATTGGCGACAACATACAGTATACACATAAAAACAGTTAGCAAATGTTAGTTCTAAGAATTTTTTATTTTCAAGGTATAAATATTTTAATATTGTTTAAAATTTTGTAAAAAGCCAATAAATAAAGACAATAAATTTGTAAAAATACATTAATTTAAGAATTTACTATGCTTTCATGATTCAACATCCTAATTCATTTTAACGTAACCCCAAGTGATCTCATGTCGCGTAAACTATGCTACAAAAATCTAATTCTCACAATAATTATCCACATTAATTTCAAGTTAAATTTTAATTTGGAATGCAAGTTTAAATGCAGGAATTATTTCAATTCGTATCAATAGCTTACTCAGAAATTATGTAAAATGGCAGTGCTTTACTTTGCTAGTACATTCTCATTAGAATTGATGAATTTAAACCTTGATTTTGCCTTTTCTACATTTTTGCCTTCGGGTGAGCGATTTGACTGCATCCTAATTGACTTAATTACTCGAATGGCCTTAGGGCATAAAATTGAACTATCTTGTAAACACTCTATGTAACTGTATGCCAGTATTGAAAGAAACAATCAATCTGATAAGAAATGGCTGCGACGTTTTTTGAAAATGAGGCGTAAAAGATTACAAGTGAGGATATTCCATTTGGCATCAGTTGTACCATTATTTGCGACTTTATCGCCTGTGCCAGCAAAACAGAAAAGTACCGAATTTTGCTACAGGAATAATTGGTATAAGAAATAAGAAAATAAGTAATATAAGAAAATAATTGGTAAAATCCTAATATAATAATTTTATGAGATTAAAACATAAATATATTTAATAATCAAATACATGAGCAATGGTTGACACTTTTAAAGAGTAATTGTGGCTAAAGTGCAGAATCACCCACTTACTTGATTGGCATTTGTTTGGTGCTTTTTACAAGAGTAAGAAGAATTGGAGTTTTGTCAATTTTCTTTGACTGAAAATAGGTCGATGTGTACATGGATAAAGTCAAAGGAGTGCACAATGCCATTTTTGTGCAATTTTGGGATTTTTTTTTATGTGAAAATAGGTCGATGTGTACATGGATACTGAGTATGTGCAATTCTTAAAAATGCACCAAGCAGTGGGCGATTCTGCACTTTCCACGTAATTGTTTTCAGTTTTTCATTAATTCAGGTTTTTTTTTTTTATATGAAGTACTGAGAGAGTTGCAGCTGTTGCATCTCACATAAAATGCATTTCAAATTAGTCCCCTTGTTTTGGACTGATATTAGAAAATATTCAGCTACTAAGTTGCATAAAATAAAGTTTTATCCCCTGTTATATCGTAATGAACACGGAAGATTCAAAACAAATAAATAAAATAAAAAAGAAACAGAAAAGAGTATAAATATATAGAACTATTCGACATTCTTTTCAAAGGATTACTCCGGATTGCGACCATTGTTGAAAACTTAGGAAAGAACAAAAAGGTAAATATAACAATAAATTAATAACCTTTTCTTCATAAACAACAGCATTACAACTTGGAGTCTCCAAACACCATGATAAACAATCATGATTCGTTGGAAGAACAGTTTCATTTAAATACTTTGCACCAAGAGTCCGCGATTCTCCAGTACGAATAATTGTATTTCCATTAGTGTGAAATTTACTTTCCACATCATGATCTAATTGACGATTGTATCGCGAAACATTCTCAGAAATCGTGCGATCATTATAGTCAATATTACGAACTAGTAAATTTGAATAATTTTTATTTTGCACTTCCGAAATACCAGACAAAAAAGAACTGACAACATTTATACTGACAGCCGTGAAAATCAACGAAATCGACAACAAAGTATGGTAGTTTCGTTCACGATAGAATGACATGGTTTTAGATTATTCCTGTAAAAAAAAATTCTCTTTCTGTAGCAAAATAACACATAATGCCTAGCAGATTATTATTAAGATTACTATTTAATTATTCACCGGGTTATTGATGTTTACTACTCAAAATAAAGAATCGTGTTTTTCTCTAAAGTAGTTGAAGTATTTTCTAAGATCTAATAATATGCAGTAGATGACAAGTGCTCAATTCAGAACTAATTTTAACCAAGATATCATCTGTATTATAATAAATTATTTGCTTTAAACCTAGGGTATATATAATGAATATTAATATCTGCTTAATTTTTGGAGATGAGTGCTTAATTTTTGGAGGTGAGTGCTTTTCCCCCTCCACCACGGGACTGTCCCAAATTTTGATAAAAGCGACAAATTTCTCTTGTTTTTAATAAAAGTATAAATATGTTTTAATGAGCAATAGCATTTCTAGATGACAGATGTATTTTTCCAGCATATCAGAGAGTCGCCATTAACTTTTCATACGTAAGGAAAGTAGTGTACTACACCGAACTCTAGTAGCAAAGACTGTGTTGTGTAGACGCGTACAAGCCTTTGAAACCGATCCTTTACACAATCCGAAAAATTTCTGGTATTGAAATGAGGGATTAGAAAGGATATCGGCGCAACATAATATGAACATGGTGCTAGTGTCTTAAAATTCTGCTAAAATGATCTTTGTCTGTTCATGAAATATGGTACAGGTTGGAGGGTATTATTGGGACAGCAGTTTTGACGAGGACGTTTGGCTCCTTCAGTGTTATATCTGATAACCGTCCAGTTTATTAGTCAAATTTTCGAAGATCTATGTGCAGGGCGTGGCATACGCCACTTAAAGATGATCCAAACCCAACTAAGGATAACTAGTCTAAGGCTCCTCTAGGTATATAGGAGGCCGCCTTACCCTAGTCTGGACACTGTCGAGATGGAAGAACGGGTCGTTATTTGCAATTTACTCAACAGAGAACGAGTCTCGTGTCATCGTCTCGATGATTACAGAGATCGACGCGTCGGAAATTTTTCCGTCACTTGTGTAGCTGCAATTTAAAAGGCACTCATACGACTTCCAACATTCCTAAATAATAATAGATCCCGGCAAACTATTTTCTTTGATAATCTTCAACAGGCACTCTTTCGATCGCTCTTCAATCACGCGGAAAAAACACTTGCTCGATCCCTTTTCAATACCTCCAAACACCCATTTACCTTCCATAATACTTTCTTTTTCCAAACTAACTTTTATCAGTTTCAACCACACTTCCGGGCCCTCGAAGTACTTTATTCTCTCTAAAGCACACCTCCACACATACACACACACACACACACACACACATATATATATATATATATACAAAACATCTTCCAATCTATCATAGCGTGGTCAGTCACATGCAACTCGCCAATAATCAACTGATTCGTGCATTTCTGACCCCAGAAATATGATAGTTATAAAACCTCACTCACAGGCTTTCGTTCCTTGGAAAACCAAGAGCCCTTTCTCACACTCCTTTTGATCTCGTGCTTGAAATGACCGGACGCACGACACCGCCATTCATACGAATCTGCCGCATCCCTTCTTTCAACTAATTTCATACTATTTTTGTACTTAGGCTATTCGCACATATTCGAAATTAAAGCATAATTTATGTACCATTCTGTCACGCACTTGAAACCGAAACAAACAATTAAAATCCATACATTCAGCTCTTTCAACGCTAGCCATTTTCCTTTATGAAAAGCACAGTAAAAAATTTTCAAAATTAGGTGCATTTGAGTAAAAATTTTACATTATGCAATTAAAATATAAAATGAGCAAAATTTCAGGCGCATATCTTGTTTCTTGTTTTTACTATTTCTATCATTATCATATTTTTCAAACAAGGAGCTCACATGTGTTGAAAAAAATTCTGCACAATGTTCCTATTAAAAAGTTTATGCTCATTTTTTCTCTAATAAGTATGTTTTCAAAAGGTCTGTGTACTTTTATCATGCATCTTACAAGTGAAATTGAAAAAAAATTAATAAATATCAGATTTTATATGTGGTGCACTCAACACACTTTTGTTTCTGCAGTGTTGCCTCTGCTATAATTTTATGAAACACTGCGTTTCTGAATATTCAAAAAAATGAATATCAGTTGTATAGGCTGCTTCTTTATGAAAGACAAACTAAATGCAGATTCTGCCAAATTGGGAAATAATAGTGCTAGGAATGCATTTTTTTCTACATATATCAACCATTCAACTTACTTTCTTTGTTTTCAGCATTCATCTTTACTAATACATATATTTCTGTCACTGAACTTGATTTAGTATTAAACTATTATTTTAATTCTCAGGTATGCGTACATGGAATTAGTTTCATTAGTTAAAAAGATTATTAGTAAGTAAGATACTTGCAATGGTATATTGCTAAAAATATATAAGCATGCAGGAAAAGAATTGTTTTAAAGGACATAAATTATATCTTAATAGACAAATCAACATAATCAACAAACCAATCAATAATATAATTTGCTATTTCAGAATTTTCAGCAACAATACATTTTCTTATCTTTCTTTTTAATTTTTCAAAGCTACAAAACAGAAAATAAATCCATGACTGTTTCAAAATTTAAATACTCAATAAATAAAAGTGTGGAGAACAAAATATGATTTTAATAATGAATATTTATAAGGAATAATGTTTAACATTTATAAGAACTGTTCAAATAAACTATCACTAACAGCAACACATGCATCGCAACCACAATGAGGTAACTGGCATATACTTTGAAAGATGGCCGGCATGTACTTCTACAGCAATGGTGCTAATTTGGTGCCAAGGTCGGACTAGGGTTTTAAAAATTTATAGTCAACTATCACAAATTCTGCAAAAATGTGCCTTGTGGTATATAAAAATTTCTTCAAATTTTGTACATGCCAAACAGATCTCCTTTTGTGATCTAGTTTTGGCTAGCCTGTATCAAATAATATAACAAAACAGTTTGCATCATACAGGCAATCAGTCTCTTCAAAATTTGTTGCACTATGCATGAACTATCTTCTCTGTAAATACTTCTGTTTGATAGTTCATAACGTAGAGTAAACTTGGAAAGATTTGTTATGTACTGCTAAGTAACTTTTGCTGTATTTAATATTACTATTACATTAGTGTTTATAGAGTATAAACTCTGAAGGGAAATATGATACCTCGTGTTTTTAAGAAATTATTCTGTACTTTGCTATTAACGCAATTGGTACAGTCTATAAACAAGCTATTCTTTTTTCTAAAATTACAATTTTAAGTTTTTAAATTATTGAATATAGTTCTGTTTGGATCATAATTATACTTACAAATTAACACTGCATTATTTAGATTATAACAAAGGACTGAACAGCTATTTGCCTAAGAGGAAGAATGCCTTTGTGGAATACTTTTTATAAGATAAGTTCCTCGCTTCCATGTTACACATGGAAAAAACCACAAAACTCTCATACAATCAATCCATTTACTGGGATTTGAAACTGGGTTGAACTAACAACACTCCTCAGTTTTACCAATTGCCTATTGTGAACCATTTCCATTGCAGGAAAATATTGTTAATACACATTAAATATGGGTCCCACCAGTCACTGAGAAGTTATGACCACTGAACACTGGTAGTTCAACCCAGGTTTGAACACACTCAAATGATCTAGCTGCATGGTTGTTTTTCTCCATGTGTAACATGAATATGAGCTAGTTGAAAATTATGAATATGAGCTAGTTTCCCTTAGAAAGTTCTCTACAAAGGTATCCTTGTGTACTTGTGCCATATTAAAATAACCTAACCTTAAATTTGAATGCAGTTTTCCCATTTATGGTAAATCAGACATTTTTAAGGTATTTTTTAAAAATTTCTTGAACTATAGAGAAAATTACTCATTATCTGTAATATGTGTTATTGATCGTTTCGTATTCCTAGACATCCATACCCTGTAAGGTCATTAGGCCTTTAACTGTAATAACTCATTTGCATCATTGGAAAGAAACATTATATCTATTGCAACGATTCATCCACTGCCACTTGTTTTTCTATATTCTCCTTTTTCTATATAACACACATATACTTCTAAGTTTTTGTGCTTTTGTTTCTCACCATATACACAGTCATCTGTTTTCAGGTAAGGAAACATCTGAGAATATTATAAACTTGCTATTAAAATTCTAAAAACAAAAAGAAGAAAGAGGTGCATGATGTCTTTAAGCAAGCTACAAATCGTCTCCGGGATGGGTGTGGAGGAAGGAAAGGTGCGGAAAAATGGAGTAAAGAAGTGAGCAACTAAAAGAGGCGAAGGGAGGAGAGCGAGAGGGGGAGGTAAGGGTCGGAATGTAGAAGGAACAGTGGGGGATAGATTAGTGAAGAATGGAAGCCAAAGGAAGGGAAGTTAGCACGCCTGAGGGATGATTAAGGAGAGCAGAAGAAGATGAAGAGGGGGGGGGAGGATAAGGGGCGGATAAAGGAGAAGAAAGGCAACGGGAGAGAAGAACGGGAGGGACCTGGAACAAAGAGGGTGTAGTCATAATCTGTTTGATGAGAAGTGACCTTGCACGAGCTACCTTAATTCCATCCCTGAATCCTTAGTAAGGTAGCGCTCTGAAAACCTACGTGTCTCAACTTAATATTGTTATTGAGGAATGTAGAGAATGAAACGATATGTTCTATTCACTCGGTTTTCATGTCACCATGTCGTTATGAGGTCGATAAAGTCGTCGCTATATGATAGACTGACGTTATAGTTGTTCTATGGAAGCATATGTTGAGCTTAAACTCTGTTCGAGGTATACTGGCTTGGACTGTACCAGTACCAAATCGTAGCCCTGGTATTACTACACGCAGATGAACGAAGAAACCAAACTTCCTTTATATTAGAGTAGAGTTATATATCAGAATACCTTTCATTGTTACATATTCAAAGATCCTTTTAATAACGTTCGGAACAATGAATTTACCAATAATTGTTTTAGGCTTTGTTGAATTAAAACAAAGTTAATGTATACATTTTTAACAATGCTTATAAACCATAATCATTAGAGATATCAAATCTAGTGGTGCTAAAATCTTACGTGTGGAGCTTATTTGCTTAAAGTTGTTATTTTTAATGCTGAAATCGCATTCG